AATCAAACTTACAGATAGTACGTTATCAAGAAACAGGTGTAAAACTGTCACCACTGCCTCTTCATTTACAATTTCACTATGTACTTTATCCACATTGATTACATATTTATTGGAGGGCCTCATTTTGACTATATTGGGACATTTTTATCATGTGCATAGACAAAAAGGAAAATATGAGGAAAACATGTCAATATGCCATCAAATGAAGTGTCCAACTCTTCTGAATTCTTTGAGTCTTTTCTTAAGTGCTGTTGCTCCCACACTATGGTCCCCTGTGCTGCCAATAGCATTGTTAATGCATTGTTTCTTGAGAGTGCCACACCCTGATCAGGATTTGAGGGAGTGCCTGTCTTGCTGGGTGCCCATCTGCAGGTTCGATCTTACTGAAGGTGTTCACTTGTAGTCTCATTTCAGGAACAAGAAAATGGAAAATGTGAAAATTGCTGATTTGCAGTAGCTCTTACAAGATCATCTCTGGAGCTGTCCCAAAGGTGATACCAACCTAGCCCAGGAGCAGTGGCCCCCAGTCCAAGGGGACCCAGCTGGTAAACAGCAGGTAGACTCCAGCCCAGGTTTCCCTTGCGAAGTACTGATGTTGAAAGAGTTTATGTTTCTTTCCTTAGGGAAAAGGCAGACCATAGTCTCAACCTCTGGTGGTGGATAGCATTGGCATCTTAAGGTCAGAGGTGCACCCACCATTCATGCCAGCTACAGACAGAGGGCCCAGCACAGGTTGCAGAAGTATTGGGAGAGGCTGGAGCCTTTCAGGTGGCCCTGGAGGAAGGCATTTAAGTCACCACAGGTGTGCCTTGAAGGGCATCTTGGGGACACACACCCTTCCTGTCTTTGCTTCCTGTCCACCAGCAAGTAAAGTCTGCCAGTCTCTCTTATCACGATACTCCACTCATCACAAGCCCAAAGGCAGCTGGCCCAAGCAACTATGGACTGAAATCTCTGATGCCACAGAACCAAAGTAAATCTTCCCTCCTTACCAGCTGACTGTCTCAGGCATTTTTGTCACAATATTGGAAAAATAACACCTCACTAACTCATTAGCCAAGTGACCCCCTGGGCACTCACCCTAGGCCCAAGAGACAGTTCTGAGCTGCTCCAGTGATGGAGGACATGGCACATTCTGAGACAGACTGGGTTGCTAGGATTTTGCTAAGGGACTGTCAGTCCAGAGAGAAAACTGTTTTTAAAGACTGATTGTCATTAAAGTCCTTAGTGAGGCATATGATCAGACAGACACACGAAAGCACAGGCTTTATGGACAGGAAAGAGATGTTGTGAATCCATCTACCCTGACACAGGAAGTCACCCACCTCTTGGGCCAGGGCAGTCAGATAGTAAAGGAGCTGGACAGTGAGGCTGGAAAGTGGGTGAAGGTAAAATACAAAGGATGTGCAAGGGGCAAGTGTTATGGTTTGTACCTGCATGTCCCACCAAAGCCTCATGCAGTCATGGGGGCAGGCTTCTAGGGTTTGTGATTGATTCATGGACCAGTGCTGCGATTATGGGTGTGAGTGCTATACCTGCCCTGAGACAGGCAGCTGCACACAATATGGAGAGGAAGAGGCTTTCTCCCTGGCTCCTCCCCTTTTGCCTCTTTTGCTCTTGCTGTCTTCTGCTCCATGAACTATTGCCCCTGCGCCATGCCACCCTACCTTGGAGCCAGCCAATTATGGACTGAAACCCCTACAAACTGAGCTAAATAAACCTTTCCTTCTTTGTCTTAGGTGTTGAGTATTTTGTCTCAGCAATAAGAGAAAAGTAACTGAGACAGAGGGCGATGCAGGTGAGATGACAGCCAGGGGCTCCAGGGCATCAGAAATGATACTGTTGCAATCATCTCAGGGAAATCTGGCAGCACCTCTAAGCGAACGCCCATTTGTCATGGTTTACCACCTCTACTTGATCTAAATCAGGAGTTTGAAACTTTGACCCCAAAAGTCAACATTAAGGGGCTTAAATCTATTAAAAAGATTAAATTGGGCATACTGGTGCACACTTATAATCCCAGCACTTGGGAAGCTGAGGCAGGATTACTGGGAGTTCAAGGTCAGCCTGGGCTACATACTAAGCTCAAAGCCAGCCCATATTTCAAAGAGGGACCTTGTCTCAAAAAGCCAAAAAATTGTAACAAAAAACCAAATAAGTAAACCACTCTTAGTACTAAAACTTTAGTGGTGCTCAGCAGTTCTGACGCCATCAGGACAATTTATGGATTAAAGTGCTCAAATACATGAGAGAAGCCAGCATATATTAGCTAATATGGGGCTTTGTTTAGGCAGTTTTGCAGCCTGAAACCAGGGTTTCTTGAATGTTGGGGAAATGCTCTGCCCAAACTGTTATTCTAGCTAGTTTTTTTTTTCCTGAATAGTATTATTGAAATTAGACATGTGACTTTAATTTTGGAGAGGTAAGGGAATTATTAGTAAGTAGCCTAGATTGCTCAAGGGGCTTGATTTATTACCTTTATAACATTTTCAATTGCTTTGAACTGTGCGACTTCACTCTTTGGATTTGAATATGCCTCCGTTGGGAGTGTGACATCCTGGAGAGTTATTACAACTTGCAAATATGGCTTAAAATGCTTAAAGGAATTTAATGAAGTTTGCAAATGGGGTTGTCTTAGAGGGAATTTAACTTGTCATATGTGTAACTGATTAAAGCATTAAGTGTATTTTTACAGAAAAACGTATTATCAGTATTACAAACACGTGTGATGGCATTAAGAACACAGGCTTTAATAAGGTGAAAGTTAATTATGAATAACAGTGCATGTATTTTTGTTCAAATGACTTGACACATTTTTAAGAAATGAACACTGATAAGGCTCTGGAAATCAAGACATTAAAGTGCTTAGCCAGGTGTGGTGGCTCACGCCTGTAACTCAGGAGGCTAAGGTGGGAGGATTGTTCCAAGTTCGAGACCGGCCTGGGCTACAAAGTGAGCTCAAGGCCAGCCTGAACTGCATAGCGAGACCCCGTCTCAAAAAAGTAAAAAAAAAAAAAAAGACATTAAAGTGCTTGCCCCCAGGATTTAGAAAACCTTTTTTTGGTACTGGAGCTCGAACTCGTAACCTCACACTTGGCAGGCAGGCACTTATGCCACTGAGCTAAATCCCTGGCCCTCTGCTGAACTCTCATTCCACTTTACTCCTAGGTTTGCACAGAAATAGAGAAGGCCATGTGCCCGCCTCTCTCGAAACACTTCAGTCCTCTGGAAACCAGGATCTGCCTTGACCCATGGTTTTCTTCAGAAATTCAGCCACCAGAGACTTATTTTCCATCATCAGTGGGAAAACCTAAAGCATGCTTCCCAAAGCAAATGCCAATTCCTCAATCAAGATCCATTTTCCTTTCAGCCCTTCGGTCCAGGCCTTCTTTCCCAAGGATACAGCATTTGAGAAACTCCCTGAATCAATCTCTAAACAAGAATGCCTCTTCACTAAAGAAAATGTATAGAAAAAAAAAAAAAAAGAATGCCTCACAATGAAGACTCACCTGTGATTCCACCCCAGGTAAGTTCCAGTTGAGGCTTTATCCCTTTAATGAAGGATTACATCCTGTTAAGACAGCCTCAAAGTTTAAAATTAGATTGGTCACAGCTAGTATTTCTATCCCTAGTATTCTATGAGCTCTGTTATACGATCCAATTTACATCAGTACCACTATCTCTACCTAACAGGGAAAGGAGTTGTAGTGCACCGCTTACCGATGTTAAAAGGGCATCATAGCTGGGCATGGAGGTGCACATCTGTAACCCCAGTACTCAGAGGACTGCGTTAAATTCAAGACCAGTCTGGGCTACACAGTGAGTTCGCAGGTAGCCTGAACTACATAGCGAAATTCTGACTCAAAAAGTGGGGCGGGGAGCATTGATTTGAACTCTTTGTTTGATTCCAGACCCAATTTCCAAACATAGCCATAGGATCTCAAAGGCTGTTATGCTTCTGTATTACACTGTTCTGTTAATAATCACTGGTCGCTAGGGATTTAGCTCAGCAGCATAAGTGCCTGCCTGACAAGCATGAGGTCATGAGTTCAATCCCTGAAAGCAAAACAAAAAAGACTTGTTGATGGCCTGCATTTTGAATAAAAGCCTCAGGAAGAAGATGGGTAAAAAGAAAAAAATGAGAAGCTAAAGCAAACCGCTTGAGATCTTACTAAAAATGAAGATGCTGATTCTGTATGACAGGGGCAGAGCCTGAGATTCTGAACTTCCATGTTCAGATAACGCTGCACGGCTGTTATTTGTGGGACTTTCTTCTTTCAATGCAAGGGACTGAATGCAGGGCCTTGTAAAAGGGTTCATGTGCTTTTACCACTGAGCTACACCCAGCCCCTCTGTGGACAGTTTAAACAGGAAGGCGTAAGACGACCCTCAGACACCTAAGCTGGTCTCTATGGTAAAAACCAAAGGACTGAGAAATACAGATCTTGGAGCTGTCTGATGCTAAGGGAGGACAAACGGAGGCTGGGCCTAAAGTCCCTCACATGTAGCCTTATTTCTTTTTTTTTGTCTTTTTCGTTTTTATCGGTACCAGGGATCGAACTCACGACTGCCTGCTTGCAAGGCAGGCGCTTATGCCGCTGAGCTAAATCCCCAGCCCCTGTAGCCTTATTTCTAAGGCAGTCCCATGAGGATACCAGCTTTTCTTCTTCAAAACAAAAACACCTCAAGTGTAAGACAATAGAACACAGCAGAATCAAAAGCATGTTAGAGGTAGGACCAAGTGGCCCCCACATCATCCCTGACCCCACACACCCTTTCAGCCAACAGCAAGCACCGAACAAAGAGCTGTGGTGGGAGCATTGTTTTTAATATGGTCTGTGCCAAGCAGTATCAAAGTCGTCCACAACCTCCAAGTTTATCCTACTTTTAAAAGGGAGTTGTTTTTTTTTTTAAAAGTACACTGATAAAGAGACTAGCCACACCTCTGAAAAGACTTAAAGACGAGAAGCCATGTAAGTTATCTTCCTTAAACACAGCCATTTCAAAAGATTTTCTTTAATATCATAAAATATTTTAATGGACAAGTGAGCTAGCAAACACACATGCACCAATGTGCCTCTACTCCCAACCCCCACCAGGTGGACATGAGATCGGAAAAATGAATACAGCAGATGAAACAGATACAAGAAAAAAAATCAGTAAAAAGAATGGAATATAACTTTGTGCTTGGTTATTTTCCTATGTCACAATAAAACAAAAACATTTCGGTGCAAATAGTTAATTTTTCCTCTTTTCCATTTAAGTCTGGTGGAGAAAAAAATACTTTTCTATAATAAAATATGTAATTTTTTTGTTGCTTTTTTGTTTTTTAATTTTTAAACGTTTTTTCTTTTTTGCAGAAAATAATCTTGTAAACTGTCACTTTGCGGGCTGGGGGACTCGATGCCGTGTGGGTTCTAGGTTGCCCCGCCGCCGCCGGAGGCTGAGCGCTGAAACCAAACGGGCAGGAGAACAGGACAGCGGCGGTGCAGGGCGGGCGCAAGGCGGAGGGGGCGAGGGGCGAGGGGCACGGGCGGGTTAGAGGTCACTCTCGCCATACAGTGCCGTGGAGAAGGACATGTAGTCCAGAGCACCAGGCACCGAATCGGGGCCGGTGTACGGGGCCATTCGTGCGATGCAGTACTCGGCCTGGTCAGGTGGAAGCTCCCGGCGCAGCTCGTCCACGGTGATGTAGTTCTGCGGAAAAAGTATGGTCAGGACCGCAAAGCCGAGCGGCCGTAAAGCAGGGCGGTGCTGCTGCAAAACCCTGCGACTGTAAACCGACCCCGGAAGTCAGGTACCCAGGGCCTGCCCCATTTTTACTCTCAGCTCTTTTGGATCTATGAACAGACATCTACGTGTCTGTTTATATACGTATATACGTATGGAATATATATTTTAAAACCGATTGTTGTGCACTTCTTTACCTACTGTGGCCTCTTTCCAAACTCAATTGTACACCTATAATCTCATGAGTCACCCGAGGCCTCAGGATCACTGTGCCAGGCAATACCTGCAGGCATTCTGGTGGGACACACAAAACTCACACCCTCAAATGGGCTCTTCAGTGCCCACTTTTAAGTCTAATTTTAATGAGTAGATGAAGACGAGCATCCAGTATGGGCATCCAAAATCCGGCCAGCAGTCTTGACCAGTCCATGAGTGTGGGCCCTGCCCTACTCCAGCCAACTCTCAGCCTGGGTACCTTCCTTGCCCTCCAGCTTCTCCGTGGTTTGGAAGCTGCTGCTGCTTTTGGAGTTTGAGGGTTGAGAGGACCCTGACCCATATCACAGTGCACCTCCCAAGCCACGGTTCTACATCTGAATCCCCAGGATTAAGACTAAGGCTGTCCTCCCATCATTCTGTATCAGAGACCAGGCCCTTTTGGGGGTCTGTTTTCCTCCTCAGGATTCTAAGTATCCTCCAAACTCTCAGCTGTTCTGACTCTAAGGAAGGTATCTTTGAATTTAAATCATCTTGAGGGACATTGTAGGTTCAGCTTTTGCTATCTAAGAAACATTTCAGGAATTATAGTCACTTTTGGCTTTCGCTTTTCATAACTGAATCTTTTTAGTTCTGAGAGGATGGCCTAAGGATTATCCTGTGAATTTCACAGGTACCTCCTCTCCAAATCTCTTTGAGTTCCACTTCAGTCTTTTCCATATCACAGAAATTCTGGCTCCAGCAGATCCCTTCAGGTCCCTGGGCTAAAGATGGCTAAGAATCTGAGCAGTATGCAGGCCCACCAGTGACCACTGCAGATGGCAAGCCTTGAGCTGGGCCTCTGGCCGCTCTAGAGACAGCCTCTCTGCACCCCACCCCCCAACCCTCACCAACTTTTCCATTGTCAGATGGGTGCTGCCAGGTATCCAAAGACTTGGAAATCAGAATCAGGCCATTGCTCAGAGTAGAAAAATGACAAAGATATGCTTCTCTCCTGCTCCCCCACTATGTTCCACATTCTTGCTGTGGAACATAGTGGGGGAGCAGGAGAGAAGGATGTGAAAGGTCGGGGCTGGGGATATAGCTCAGTGGCATAAGCGCCTGCCTTGCAAGCGTGGGGTTGTGAGTTTGATCCCTGTTACGATAAAGGATGTGAAAGTTAAGTTCCAGGGGCTCTCAGAGGGATTTTTCATGGTCCTGCCACACCCCAAACCACTCCACTGCTCTCCACCATTGCTTCTTCCCAAGTGAAGGGTCCTCCGCTGATAGTAGCACCCCCCTGCAGGAGCCCCTTAAGCTATTACCTCTGTTGAGCCCCTGGTGTTGCTGAAATGCATACAGAGGCACAGCAAAGAGCAGCCCCATAGGACCATAGAAAATGGGACAGTTGAGGTGCTCACATCTCAGCCCTTCCAGGTAGAGTCCACCCAGTGTTCATCACCCCAGCACAGGGCCCGCGCCACAGGAGACCTACCTTGTCCCCAGCCAGGATCTTGAAGGAAGCCATGACCTGGTCTGCCGTATCTGTGTCTGCCGTCTCTCGGGACATGAAGTCAATGAAGGCCTGGAATGTCACTACCCCCAGGCGGTTGGGGTCCACAATGCTCATGATGCGGGCAAATTCTGCCTCTCCCTGGAGGAACAGCCAACCCAGGCCTGTGAGCCCATGGCCTGCTGAGAGTCTCTTAGATGGAACTCAAGCCCCTGGGACTCACAGTAACCTGTGATTGGCAGAGGGCATGGCAGCCTCTGACCTACCCTGGGGTGCCTGGAAGGTCTCATAGGGACCTAGTACTCAACAGTGGAGACCTAGCCTGGTGCTCTCACCCTTTACATGTGCCTGGGTTCCCTTTGGAGAAAATAATAATGCTAGTATTATAACAATAACATCAACATTGGCTAACGCCCACACAGCATGTACTCTATGCCAGTACTGTTCTAAATGCCTTATGTATTTTAATTCATTTTGTCCTCACAACAACTATATACAATCTTTTTATCTCCACTATATAGATGAAACATCTGAGGCATAGACAGGCTGCTCCTGGCCCTGGGTCACACAGCCAGTAAGTAGGGATCTCAGACTTGAACTCAGGCAGTTTGGCTCCAGAATCTGTTCTCCCCCACCTCTAAGTATTAGATACATGCACCACACATGATAAATTCTTTCGTTCAATCCTTACAGCTTCCTATAAGCTTCCCTTCACTTCATGTGAGGCCACAACTGGTTATGGCAGAACTGGGATTGATTCTCAGGTTCACTGCTTCTAGCCCAGTCCTTGCCCGCTTACTGGGCAGCCTGTGGGCACCACATTTTGTGTCATAGCCAGGAGTCACCTGACTGCCCAATGAAGCACCCTGTTCAGAAACCTGGATGAGGGAAGGCACACTAAGGTTATGGCGGAGTGTAGGACAATGGCAGAGTGGTGGCAGGCCTGGCCGGAGCCATCAGCAGAGTAGAGGTAGAAATCTAAGGCTTCATGGGAGATGAAGAAGCAGAGACAATCCCAAACATGGACCATCCCAACAGCCAATCCTTCCTGCCAGCCTGGGGCTCAGCCTGCTGTCCCCTGGAAGAGTGGGAGCCCTGTCTGCACAGTGAATACCAGGTGAGCCTGCATGCAAAGACTGGGGGATGAGCCAGGCCTCCCCGTCACACACAGGCCCCATGAGTGGGCACAGCTTTCAGGGTGCTGTCTTCCCCCAGCCCGGGGGACTGGAGGCTTCTCCAGGAGGGCGACCCTCACCAGGGCCTCAGGCGTATGATGTGAGGACTCGGCCTCTCCAGCCAGCGAGCCGGCTGCCTCGTGGCTGAGGCCTGCCAGACAGAGGGTGAGGTTTACATTACCATGTTGTAACCCATGGAGATAAGGCAGGCTCGGAAATCATCCGTGTCCATCATGCCTGTCTTCTTCTGTGGGGCAGTTGGTACCAGAGAGGAGGGAGGGACAGGTGGAGGAGGAAGGGCCAGCCCAGGGCCAGGAAGACAGGGCACAGGTGGCCCGAGGGGAGGGGGAGGGTCATGGTTTGAAGGTCAGGGAGGAAAGAGGAATGTAGAAGGAATGTCCAGGGAAAATTTCCACGGAAAAGTCAGATAGAGCAGGGAGATGCAAAATTCCGTCCACAGGATGAGGAGCGATGAGAAGAGAAGAGGGCGGGCACCCCGCAGGTTCCCGTGAGACACCGAGGTCAGAGGTCGGAGAGGTGAAGGAGGAGCCCGACATGGGGCAGGCAGGGACAGCAGGAAGATGAGCCCCGTGGCCCACGGGAAGAGGGGTGGAGAGATCCAGACAGAGAAAGAAGAGAAAAAAAAGAAACGTGTTATTTCTCGCGCCGGAGGTCACCCCTGAGCGTGCTCCATGCAGGAGGCAAGTACCTGGGGGTCGTTGCCAATATCATAACCCAAGCTGATGAGGCAGGCTTTGAACTCCTCGGGACCCAGCGTGCCGGAGTGATCCTGGGGCCGTGGTGCGCCAGGCAGCGAGCCATGCGGTGCCAGGGAGGTGAAGGTCGTGAGGGGCAGGGGTGGGCCATGCCCCGGGTAGAGGGTGGCGTGTGTGGGGAGACACAGGGACAAAGGCATGCAGATGGAGAGGGTGGAGGGGCGGGGAGGGGGGAAATAAAAGTGCACACAGTTAGACACAGACAAGGTTCCAGAGGGGGCCCTGCCCTGGTACACACAGCCCTGCTCTGGAAAGCAGGGCGGAGGGGAACACAATGAGCCATGAGGGTGAGAAGCTCCCCCAGAAGTGCCCAGGCTACCTTGCTGTCCCCAAGGGCTCTGCCCACCCAGGTGCCTGGAGGGCAGTGAAGCGGGTGGAGGGGTGGGCAGCTCCTGACCCCATGCTCCCCAACCACCATGGCCACCGCAGCCCCAGGGCACTGGGAAGAGGCAGCCCACTGAAAACCCAGCCTGCCCCAAGCTGAGATGGGAACCCAGGTCAGATGCCACCTGGGCAGGGCAGGAAGGAGATCGCTCCTCTGCCAGAGGACAATCCTCATAGCTAGGGGCAGTGGGGCTTCACTAGAGACCCTCACTCCCAAAGGCTGACTCACAGCAGGACAGCAAGGGGTAAGGATAGCCATCACCCACCCCCAGTACAAGCACTTTGCCCTGGAAAGTGGGTAAGGTTTAGGGACAGCAGAAGGCTTTCCAAGGCCAGCTCCAGGGGCCAAGGCAGATGGACAATAGTTCCTCTCCTTCCTCCTCACAGCCTAACAACCTGTCTGGCATGGTAGCCTAGGCCTGGGCAGTGCCCTCCAGGGCCCTGGGGCAGGGGCTAGGGGCCCCTCTAAGGGCATGAGGGGTGTACTCTTACCCGGTCGAAGTGGTTGAAGGAGGCCCGGAACTCATTCATCTGCTCCTGGCTGATGCCCTTGGCATCCCGGGTCAGGATCTGGTTCTCCACCTCGTTGATGGTCCTGGCGATGGTGGTAAGCAGCTGCTCCCAGCCCACACGGATGTGCTGGAGGCAGGGAGGGGCCTGTCAGCAACTGGGCCCCAGGCCTGGGCTCCAAGCCGCCCCTGCTCTTTCCTCCTCTGGACTGTTGAACACGGCCAGAGCAATCACTCAGCTTTCTACCTGGAGTCACAGGATCACCACAGCGAAGAGAACCAGGCCAAGAAAAAACTACCAGGATGCAGGGCCTGGAGGATAAAGGGACCAGGATGCTGGCCTCTTCCTAAGACAGCAAGGAGACCACGACTTGACAACGGGGGTCGGTTAGGGAACAGGTAGCTTTGATAGTGACAAAGATTAAAGAATAAACAGCTACACATAAATGTTCACACATATGCACACATGCTTTTACCGCTGTAACAGGTACAGTGAACTGCCTCCTAATGACCTGGTCAGTGACGGGTCACATATGAGACAGTGCTCTCCGCAACACTATAGCTATCTTAGTTTGTATGACCACAGGCGATGTTGTCTATCCAGTGAGAAAAGTGCCTAGTGACATGTTTCTCAAACATATCCCATCACTAAGCTGCGGTCCTTTGGGAAGCAGGTACCCAAGCCAGAGCTCAGAGCCCAGCAGCATCAGAATTACTGTGGGCGCTTAATGAAAGTGGAGATTCCCGAGTTCCCCTCCAGGACTAACGAACTGAACTCTGGAGGCCAAGCCTACAGATGTGCATTCTCAGCAAGTTCCCTAGGGCACTTGAAAGGCCTTATGGATCAAAACTTCGGCTTCATGGGTAAAGAGAAGTGCATATTCATCTTCCGACTATGACCAGATTCCCTGGGAGATGATAATCACTCCCCCACCTCCCCAGCCCAGGCAGAGGACAGAAGCAGGGACAGACTCTGGCCAGCCCCACCCACCTCCATGGTGTAGTTGGTGTGCTTGTTGTCGAATATGAGCGCCTCCTGGATGAGCTGGTGGTCTCCCTCGAGCTGGTCGATCTTTGGCTTGTAGTTGACGATGCTCTTTTCGTACTGCCGCAGGTGGCTGAGTTGGTCCTCCAGGGTCCCATGCATCTCAATGGAGATCCTCCCAATCTCCTGCTCATCCAAAGGAGGTGCCTTGTCAGATCACCCCACTCTGGCCAGGGGTGGATCCTGGCCACCAAGGTCACTAGTGAGGCCCCAGGATGATTCTCGATTTCCTTCCCAGCCCTTGAGAGGCCAAAAGTGGTACCAGCAAGGCACATCAGGCCTGGGTGCAACCTCCTTGGTATGGAGCTTGCACCATCAAGGTGTATACTAAACACTATCATACGAAAGGATACACACACCAGGTGCACAAACTCAATTGCCATCTCCCAGGACAAGCTGTGACTTCTTGATCTTCTGCATTATCCTTCAGTCTAGTCCACACTATAAAAGTTTTACACCAGACTAAGGAGGGCTAAAGCTCTGGCTCTGGGAAGATCATTCTCTTTGATCAAACCCATTGCAGGGGGAGCAGTGACAGGAAGGGGAGGCCTAGCCACTGAGCCACACCCATGGAATGAAACTGGCTTGGGAAATTGAGAGCTGCTTCTCCTGGGGGACTGTCACATATTTAGTAGCTCCTTGGTTCCCCAGTCAGACACTGGGATCCAGCCATCAGCCTTCCATCATGAGCTCCACATCCCAAGAAGTTCAGCCCTCAGTTCTCCATGGGTTCTGCCTAGGTCACTGGCAAGCTGGTTGGCAGGGATGCTGCTGGGAAGGGTAGGGAGACCTTGGTTTGCTTCCCACCACAGAACCTACCTCCATCTTGGTCTGGATCCAGGGCCCGATGACGTTGGCCTGGGCTGCAAACTGCTTGCGTAGCCTCTCGTTGTGCTGCTGGCGGGCATGCTCCTCTGTCAAAGCCTGGTCCCTCCGTGGCACCAGCTGTCGCACCTGGGCCAGGAACAACCACAAGACTCTGGGGATGGGCCAGCCATCCACCCCTTATGCCAGATGAGGAGAACCCATGAGGGGAAAATGTGGGCAAGAACAGAACAGGAATAATGTCAACCTGTTCCAGAAATTCACTAGCTATGGAGACAAATAATGCGTATTTATTCTGAGACAATAAAGCAAATGAAATCAATGAGAAGACAAAAATCCTTGCCCTCAGGAAATGTGTAATGACTCAGCCTATGCCCTCAGGCCCGGCCCCCCAACTCACATGGTCCCATTTGCCATTGATCTCCTGAGGCGTGATGGTTGTGTAGGGGTTGGTGCCTGCCATGTTGACGTGGTAGGTCTGGACAATCTTGGACACCTCGTTGTGGATGCCCAAGATGGCCAGGCGCTCCTTGTCCGCATCGGGGAGGGTGGCCTTGAATTGCTCATGGGCTGTGGTCAATCCCTGGACAAACAGGAGGATGAAGAATCAGTATAGACCAGTGCTTCTGTTGGACAGAATGAGCAAAGGGAGGGAGAGGAAGGGAGGCCAGGACCTGCAGGTATCTATCAGATCTCATGGCCAACAGCCAGGAAGACAGAATGGTGACAGGAAGGTGAAGCCAGAGCCAACTAATCAAGTTGCATTTTTTGGGAGTGGTAAGGTTGACAGCACCCACCCTGACCATTTACCACCTGGCAGTCAGATCAGGGACAAGAGTGACCCCATATCTCTGCTCCCTGGGCGACCTCCCCAACAATGACTTCCTCAGTCCTCTCTGTAAAACCTCTGGAATCTAATACTCTGTAGTTATATAAAGGTTGAGTAAGATGTTAATTGATATGAAGTAAGCTTCAAGATAAATGTTAAAAGTCAAAATTAAAGAATAAGGATAGAGTATATAATAAAAGCTCCTTGTTTTATATCTTTTAAAAAAGGTACAGAGAAAAGGATATAAATAAATATATTTCTCTATGTATGCAGAGAAGTGGGGGGGTACAGGGGTAGGGAGACCTTATTCATATACTCCTTTTATTCTTTATTCTGTGTTACACCACGTGTAAAAAAAAAAAAACAAATTTTTCAAATCTATGAAATCTTGGGGATGTGTTTCCTCAGTCTACCCTATAGGGAAATGTGACTTGGGTGTGAGCCAGCAGCCTGGGGAGGGGGTGGCACACCTGGATCTCCTCGATGGTGTGCACGATGAAGGTGTCCTGCAGATCCTCCATGGCCCCCTCCATCCAGTTGTTGAAGGGTGCAGCCCGCTTGGCATACTCCAAGTACAGCTGGTCAATGGTCTCCAGCAGCTTCTCTGTCCGCTGCAGTGCCAAACAGGGTCAGATGGGGTGTTTAGTACTGTGACCTCCAGAGCACCTCACCCCCATCAAGACCCTCATGGTGGGTCCAGTTTAGAAGAACTGCCCTGGGCACTGGTCCTTGGTGTTGGGTGGGTGTCCCACTCCTCACTGGAGGCACCTGGCCCAGGGTCCAGAGAGAATGGATTGCTGAACAATAAAGATGTCAAACAGCCAAGGATGGGGTGTTGAATGCCCTCAACTAGGGGAGTGAGAAAGGGTTTGGGCAAGAAAGGAGGCATGTGATTCCACAGGTAGGTGATTCCTTGCCAAAGTGAGTCTCCCAATCAGGCCAAGGCTGAGGACAGTCCAGTGAGTCCATGGACTGTGTGTGTGTTTTTTTTTTAACCCTCACTACTGAGGGCAAAACTCAGGGCCTTTGCATTGAGCTATATCCCCAGTCTTTTTTTTTTTTTTTTTTTGAGACAGGGGTCCCCCTAAGTTGCTCACACTAGGTTCAACCATGCTGGGGTTATGGGTCCCGTGCCACTACACCTGGCTCCATGGCGTCTAAAGCAAAGAGAACCAAGAAGCAGAGAGGTGTTGGCTCTGCCCTCCCTCCAGGGCCCTTACCTCTAGGGCTTCCCTCCGCTTCTGAGTGAGGGCCCCCAGATTGTCCCACTGGTCACAGATCTTTTGGCAACGAGCATTGACACTGGGTGAGTCGTAGTAGTCCAGCTCACTGTGGAGGCAAGAGATGAGGAAGTCAGGTGACACAGGCTCCTTAGGGGACTTGCTCTCCCTCTCCCTAAAGCAGCCCTACCAGGGTCTCCTGCTACTACGATCCCTTGGCTTTTAGGAGACCAGAGGTAACAGGAGGTCAAAGAAGGCCAGTCCTGCTCTCCAGTGGCTACCTCAACAAGCAAGGGCCGATACCGATTTCTGTTGACCCTGAGGCCCAATGACACAAGGAGAAAGCCCAGTGCCAGGAACCAGGACTTGGTCATCTTCTGGTCCTACACTAGTACCACATAATGACTGATGGAAGTGCCCGGCTCTGTCCCCACCAGGAGGAACAGACAGCCCTTGTCCTCTGGATCAACCCTCTTCCTACCTGCAACCATCTTAATGCCACCTCCCTCCCCACTGCCACCCCGAACCCCACCAAAGCTGCAAAGCTCCACCCCAGCCCTGCACCAGAGCACCAAAAGTGGGGTGCATTGGGTGGGCCTACTTGAGCTCCTGTGCAATGGCTGCGATCTGCTCCACGCGGTCCTGGTGGGCAGCCAGGTCACTCTCGAAGGCTTCGTGCTTCTTGAGCAGGGCCTTGATCTCTGACAAGGTGGCTGTCTCATAGTCCTTCTGCCGTAACATGGCCTCTTTGCCTAGGTTCAGAGAGAGAGCCCACAGCTGAGCAGGAGTCAGGGTGATCAGGTACATCTTCAGGACCCCAGCCACCTGGCTCTCCAGGCACCAGGAGCTCTAAGTTTGGGGGTTCCTTCCCTGAAGGTGTCCACTGCCCAGTGATGCAGTGTGAGAAACCAGATGTGCAGCCACAACATTTCATTCCAGGGACTGGTTGGGAAAAGAAGTCATTTCTCTCTATAGCACATTCCTAGGGCATCTGAAAGTGGCCACATAGGAAGGCTATGCGGGAAGACGTGGGAAGAACAGAGCCCAGCGTTCACTTTAAACAGCAAGAAACACAGCCATCCGTGCCCTGTGGTACTACCAGAAAAAGGGCACAGCAAGCACCTCAGTGGCCCTCACCTTCAGAACTTCTCCAATTACAGGTACTATTATTGTCACCAACAGCCTGCGGGGACCCCTTCTAATCACTTTGAGTGCTGTCAGCACATCAGAGAGCTGTGCCCCAAACCCACTGGTGGCCAGAGCTTACTCTGACCATTAGGGGCACCGCCCTCTCAGTGGGCCACAGCCAGGACTTGTATTTCCTGGATTTCGGTCTCCACAGGAGGAGAGCAGAGAGGAGTAGAGACCACCCACAGGCCCTGTGTGACCGGCTGCCAGCCCCTGGTGAAGGAGGGGCACAGGGCGGGCCCGCGCCAGCCTTGCTCACTTGCCACCCTCACCATCTGCAGTGTCACAGGATGCTGAGCCCCGCAGAAAAGAAGGCAGAGCTGCAGGGGGCAAGGCTGTGATCCCCAGTAGGGCATTTCTTTCCCTCTATTCTCTCTCCTTTAAATAACAACATAAAAGAGTAACGATATAACAAGTGTAAGGGGAAAATGACACCTAACCCTACTGAAGTCCTCTGCCCCAGTTGTGTTTCCTCTGTGGCTATCATGCCCTAGCTCTAGAAGCCACCCACAGTGGTGGCAGCACGCCTGTAGTCCCAAGCTACCCTGGAGGCTGAGGTGAGAGGATCCCATGAGCCCAGGAGTTCAAGTCCAGCCCGGGCAACATATCAAGGCCCAATTTCCAAAAGACAGAATTTCAGACTCTCTGCTGTAGCTCCATGGTCTTCCTGTGTCCAGCGTCCCTCAGTATCAGGGGACTGGTTCTTATATCCCCACCAGGAACCTAAATCTGCAGGTGCTCAAGTCCTTAATAGTAAATGGCACAGTACTTGCATGTGACCTGTGCATGTCCTCCTGGAGACTTTAAGTCGTCTCTAGGTCACTTGTGTTACCTAATACAATGTAAATGCTATATCAATAGCTGTTATACAATGACAGGACCAGAGCCTGTATGTGGTCAGTACAGATGCAACTGCTTACTGCTTTTAACCTTGCAGTGCATAGCTGGGAGAATCCACAGATAGAGAAGCCACCATGGCGAGGGGAACAGCACCATCAATAAGCAGACATGAGCTCCAAGTGCCACAAGGTCAGAGTAAGGGGGACACACATGTCCTAAGGCAAAGGCCCTGGTGCCCTGTGAAATGTCCAGGGCTGCTCTGCGGGGAATGCATTTTACCTGCTGGGCACTGAACTCAGCAGAAAATGTGCTGGCATTTAAGTGTCACAACGCTAAAGAGGCTATGTTAGGGTGACTAACGTGCCCTCCTCAACTCGTTCAGAATGTGACAGAGTATTTTAGAAATATTTGGAAATAGCCTGCACCCATAATCAGTTAAGATGGGGTTAAATGGATCCGTGTGCCCTAGACCCAATGACTGAACTTCACTAGGAAGAGGAGAGAGTCAGTCAGAGACAGAGAAAAGTCAGGTGTAGAAGGCAGAGACTGGAGAGACACAGCCTCAGGGGAACACCATAGACTGCGGTCTCCCAGGCTGGGGACAAGTGCAGAGATCCAGAAGCAAGCAACCCTGCTAACAGCTCAGTGTGGGCTTCCGGCCTCCTCAGCTGTGAGGATACATTTCTGCTGCTTTCCGCCATGAAGTATGCAGTCATGTGTTACAGCACCCTCAGTGCTCCAAGACACAAGGGGAAAATCAACCAAGCTTTCCACACACAGAAACAACCTCCAGGGTAAGCCCACCCCGTGTTCATGCTGCCGCTAAGGGGCAGGGGGAGGAGGACTCAAACCAGGAGGACTCACAAGAACAATTAAACCCCAGCACCCATACAACACTGCACTATGCTGGGAACTCTTCTCAGGACTTCCCCTGTCCCAGTGATCAATTCTCAGGAATCTACAAGGTTGGTATGACTACCATCCGCACTTCACAGATGCGGAACCTGAGGTAAGCAAAAGGCCCAGAACACTAGTAATAGAGAAGAGGAGACAAGAGCCAGGACTTGTGGCTGGTGGCATGTGTGTGTGAATGTGTGTGTAGGGGGCAGTTATAGAGCCAGGAGCCCTAGGGGGCAGGAAGTGGGTTGGCCTCACCATCCGTCCAGGCCTCGTGGATGGAGGCCTTCTGCCGGAACTTCTCCGCCAGGTGGTCCAGCCGTTCCAGCCTCCGGATCTCATTCAGCAGCCACTCCTCATAGCCCTTCTCTGCCTGCTCCAGGCAGCCCCAGGCGTTGTTAATGTCCTGTGGGGATGGGCAATGGGAAGGGCAAGGTTAAGACAGGGCCTGGTTTGGGCCTAGGTCCTCTAGCCCCTGGTGGGCCCCCCACAGCTGCTCCATCTCAGCCCCACATTCGCCAACCAGGCTGCCCCACACACCACTGCTGGCATACCACTGGGATCCCAAGAACCAGATCTCCTGGGCAGGTAATGGGGTCTGGATCACATGGACTACCCAGCTATGGGGCACTGAGTATGGGACTCTGGGGGAAGGAGTCCAAGCCTTCTCTGCCCACTCTGGCTTCCGACAGGACTCTGGTCAACTGCAGAGGTGCAGGGGCCATTCATGGAACCAGAGCAGCCATGATGGCACAAGCAGGCATTGGAGCTGACCAGGCGCCACAGGCCTTCAGGCCTCTGGGAAGTAACTGGGAGAACCAGGCAAGACGGGGAGAGTGCAGGGACTGAATGCAAACCTACACGGCCCTCCAGACAGGGCCACCCCCAGGCAGCTCAAGGTCACCAGTGAGCACAACTGGGCTGAACAGGCCCTGTTCGCCATTCTCTCTACCATGTATCCCAGGGCTGCAACGCCCCCCAACAAGAGGGCACTTTTCCAACTTCTCCAGGGGACCCCTCTGGCCACCTGAAAGCCCCTGCAGTTTCCCAAAGTGAATGCCCACACTGAAGGCCCTCTTTCCATCTTCAGGAGTCCTGATCCTGCCTCTCCCCACTACTGTATCCATTTGCCTGTCCCCTTCCAGTCCTGACGAAGATGCCCGCTACACTTTACTTCACAGGACAAAAGACTCTGCCAAAGTGAATTTATTAAATCCTTCTGCATGTTTCTCTGGCCTTATACATTTTCTCCTGAAGTCCTGAGGCTAAGGGGGAATGAGTAACATAAAAAGATAGGGTCACAATGCGTTACATTTTTTTAAAGGTAGCCTGTTATATAAAACATGCTTTAAGAGTCTCCTGATACAGAAACATAAAAGCATCTTTTCAAGTTTTTTTTCCTAAAATATTGATACTGGATAGTACAATTATGAATAATTCCTATTTTCTGTATCTTATTTATGTATCCCTTTGAAATATCCTACAAAAAAAAGCTATTACTTTTTTAAGGTAATAAAGGTGTGTGTGCTTTTTAAAAAGTACTTCAGAGTCCATGAAAGGAAAAACTAACATCTCCGCTTGGTTCAGTGTGAGCAGGGCTTTCGGCTGACTAGGTGGTGCTGGGAAGTCCAGGGTGGATACTCAGGAGCCTAGGACAAGCCTGATGCCAAATGCTTAGAGGAGAGAGGTGGCTGCCCCACTGCATTTGGGTCAGGGCCCGAGAGGTAATCGGAAAGGGAGCAGTGACTTCTGGGGCAGTGCACGCAGGCAGAATGGCCCCTACCCCAGGGTGCTGCTTCATGTCACACCGCATCTTGGGCTGGGGCTCACTGGCACTCACCGAGACCATCCTGCCCTCTGAGGGCATGAAGGCAGGCCGGTTGCTGAGCCGTAGCTTGGTCTGCAGCGTGTTGAAGTTGATCTCCAGCTGGCACTTCTCCTGCACCTTGGGCGGCTTGTGCAGGCGCCGGTAGTCCCGGAAGTCCTCCAGCTTCTGCTGCATGGCATGCATGGTGTTCTCTGGTGCACGGTTCTCCAGCCACGGGATGGTGCGGCGGATCCACTCCAGGAGCTGGGGTGGGGAGGCCAGAGGCAGCGGATGAGGATGCCATGCAGAGGGAGGATTGGAAGGAGGGCCAAGCTTCCCTCCCTCCCTAATCCCTTCCTTCTGAGGAGGGGGGCATGGGTGACGGCCTCCCCAGCACCATCCTGGGGTGCTTTCCCAACTGGCCAGCAGGGGAACCAGAGGCAGCTCAACCAATAGGCAAAAGATCTGAGCTCAGGGCCGAGGTCCTAAATAGCTTGGGCCTCAGTTTCCTCATCTACACCACGGAGAAGTTTAACAACTATTCCTTGAGTTCCTTTGCCCCTGGACTTTCAAGGGTATTAGCATGTGAGTCTCTGGCCCAAAAGAAAAGCAGCTGGCTTCTGGGGAGATAGCTGCAAAGGGCACAGGCAGGAACAACCTGGACTGTCCTCTGTGGGCTGGGTGCTGGTAGAGAAGGAGCAGAAATGAAGGGTGACAGGAAGTAGGGGAACACCTGCAAAGTGCCAGGCATAGCCCAGGATGCTAGAAGGAGAACCATGGGGCTCCAATGCTGTGATCACCCCCAACCCATGGATGGGTAACCAAGGCTCTCACAGACCTGTCATAGTGACCCAGCCAGGATGGAGTGACAGGGATTTAAGCCTACGCACTGGCTTTTGCTATGCTGGGCACAGATCTGTCAAGAGGCCGGCGGGTGGGGAACAGCTCAAGGCTGAATTCTTGTAAAAAAAAGTAAATAGAACCTCAACCCAAGTGTAGCCAAGGTCAGGACAGCAACCACAGGCCTGTACCAGCCCGGCCCCTAATGGACCTGTGATGTATGAGCACGCAGTGATTTCTCCCAGCCAAACTCTCTCAATACCAGGTGCACCCTGTTCTGGTTAGCAAAACAGACACAGCAGCACACCGGGCTGGCAAGGCCTCTGATACCTCAACTCTCACTTGGTAAATGAAAACGCTACGTGCTCAGGAGTGAAGGAGTGTCCCTAGGTTCCCAGTATCTGAAAGCGGCACCCGCCTCCACCTCCCTACTTTCCAAGGAGGCCAGAGCTGGTAACTGTAGGGGGATCACAGACCACACCTGGCCCCAGGATGATCTGTAAGTACTGATTCTGGGGGCTCCTTTTCTCTCAGGGTGGTGTGTAGGACCTTGCAGGGGAGGAGCTAGAGGCTAGAGGAGCCCGGGGGGTACCCACATCACTGGCCAGCTTCTCATAGTCTTCCATGAGCTGCTCGTTTTCCTGGTTGACAGCCAACACCTTGCAGATGCGATTTGCTGCTGTCTCCGCCTGGCAATGAAACGAAGAGTCACAACCAGCCAGCCCCAGCCACGGGCCAGCTGGACACACCTGTGTGGACAAACCCTTCCCACCCCACAATCCCCATGGATGGAAGGGAACTGAACTCTTGAAGCTTTGCAACTATCTTCCTCCTCTCTTTTTCACCATCCCCTTTGCCGGCCTGTGGTCAGGTCTCGAGGCCAGAGGAACCCACTATCTGGAGAGAGGCCTTAGTGGCTGCCCTAGGCCGCCAGAGAGAGAAGGGCCTGAGTTTGAGGCCCAACCTGGGAAGAAACTAATCCAGTGCCTGAAAGAATGAAACAGTTCAGGTAGAGAGGTAAGGATATACAAGTCCATCTTGGAAATCCATCCAGACCCTAAAGTCTCGGAAATGTAAGAATTCAAATCTGGGAGACTGGGGAGAAGATGCCCACACAGTGGGGGCTCTCAAGATCTCTGTAGATTTCTCAAGGCTCTTGACCCACAATTCTTCAGAGAAACTCTCCAGTACACACAGAAGGACTTAAGGACCAACTCAGTATGGGCCATGCCCAGAAAACTAGCAGGGGCACCACTGGGAAAGTGAAGCTCACAGTCTGCACCAAGTGCTGGTGATGAGACAGGTGTCAGCCTTGAAAGGAACAAAAGGGGGCAAATGGTGATCAGACACCAAGGCCTAGGAGCCCACAGGGAGCACTGACTCTGCAGCCGTGGTGGGCGCTGTGTACCGAATTCCCAAAGGACCCCATGCTCCTAAATCTACTTCTTGTAGGTGATCCTGCAATCCAGCTGTGTCCCTGTACATATTCTAGTCCTGCAGCAAGGGAAAGTGAACTTGAAACCCCCTGGGGCCCCAAGGTGAAAGGAGACAGCCCCAGCAGAGAGGGTAACACCCGGGAGAAGACAGGTGTGTACTGAGGGGCCCTGGGGACGGGTGACCTGCAAATGATGAAGGGTGCCTGGTAGTGATGAATAAGACAAAATGCCTTTCAAATTTAGCAAGACAGGCCCTAACCCTAAGGAAAACTCTTTCCAAGAGAGTGCTTAGAACTAGAAGGGATGACTAAAGGGATGTGAACGTTTTCCCATGAACTTTTCAAAAAGGACCCGCACCCACCAGATCATGTGCCTCGTGGGGGACTGTGCTAGGGTATGAGGCAGGGCAGAATGAGGTCACCCAAAAAGTCCCTTCAAGTACAAAGTCAAGAGACTGCAACCTTAAGGACAAGATGTCAGAGCAGGCTGGGATTCCAAGAGAGGAAAGTGGGAATGGCCTGAGGGTGACCTAGGAATCCTCTGATCTCAAGAAACTGAGCCAAGTTGTCACATCCCAAAGCCTTCACCCTCTGTCCCCAGCTCAAACCGTCCTGGAGATGCCTTAGGCCATTTTACACACACAGTTCCTGGATGATTGTCATTCTTCTTATGAACCCTTGAGAAATCAGGGGAATCCCAAAAGACTCTGAAGGAGGACGCTCCTTCCCTGGAGTCAGTCTGTAGGAGGGGCACAGGAAGAATGGAGGGTGATGGGAATCGTGCTGGTGTACCACGTGAGACTGGCTGGGGTAGCAAGCTTCGGAAAGTCACCACGGCCACTTCCGCTGAAGGCAAGGGCAGGGGGTCAGGGAGAGCCATCATGCTCTCCTCCAGCAGACATTTATGCAAGGAGGGAGGTGACCACCACTGTGTTCACAATCAGAAAACAATCCCGGGTAGCACTCACAGCCGGGAAGCAGTCGCCACTGCTGCCAAGCTCAGACGGTCAAAGCCCACCTTCACCAAGATAGTCCCTAAAACCTTGGGCTCAGTGGCCCTAGACTGGGTGTGTCGAGCAATTCACCTGATTGGTGAATTAAGTGGGGCCAAGTCTGCTGTACTCTAACGGAGGTGTCCTGTGGGCCTTAGGAGCCTCACCTACCCCAAACAGAGCCTGCTGGCTGCTCTGTGGTCACAGGGGCTCCTTCAGATGAAGCAGGGGTTCCAGCATGGGCCTCCTGGGAACTTTTCACCAAGCCTCACCCTTTTCTTCAAGCCCACATCCCAGCCTGTCTTCCTGGGCAGTCTCAGATTGAGGAGGGACTCACTGAGAAGGTGGGCAGCACAACCCGCCCTGCCTTTGGAAATTAGGCAGCACCACAGGACAAAATGGCGCTTTCCTTATAAAGGACTAGTCTGCAAATGCTTCCTGGAGAAAAAGAACAGGCAGAGTCCTCAGCCCCTCCTCCCTCTGGCTGTTGCCCTCCTCCCATTGACTAGCAGGCTGCAGTCCCAAAGGCAACTGCTGACAGATGTATTGAGCTTGGGTCCCTCATGAAAAGAGACTCAGCCCAAGAATAAGATGAGGTCAGCTCAGGAAGAACCAGCGGGGCCAGGCCTCCTGGAGACTATCGGTGGTGTGCAAGCAAGACCAGAGGGTATGGCAGGAGCTAGCCCTGCCCACCCCCGCCCCACCCCAGGAGCAGCTTTCTACTCTGACTTTTCATGACAACAAAAACCCCTAGCTCTGTTGGGCACTTAGGGCTGGGGCACCAAAAACCATGAGTGGCTCAAGTGGGAGACGCAATTCAGGGCAGGAGAGACGCACCCCAGAGAGAAAGCCAGGAATGGAAGTGACTTAGAAGAAAACCCAGGTGAATCCCAGCATCGGCTGATTCCTGAAAGGACAGACAGGCCACTCTGGATCCAAACAAGAGCCAGAACGGGATGCCTAGACTCTCCTAAGACGGATAGAACATAGGGTAACAGAATCTAAGCAAACCAATAAGTCAAGAAAACACTGTAGAAAACTGTAGAGGGTCCTGGATATCTGTGTTTACCATCCACACTTTGTATTTTAACTTTCTTTGTGACCTACATTTAGCAGTATCACGATGCATCATAATGCACATGTTTGATTTTATATTAAAGTATTTTTATTTTATTTTCAAAGTTATAATCTCTTATCCCTGAAGTACTTTGCTGTCCTAAGCCAAACTGCTACCTTCACAATCAGCTACAAATTAACTGTTACAGAGAGGAACTCCTGTAAGTTAAGGTGATATCAAATATCCAATGTGGCCCACCAGTCACAACCCCCAGATTCACACAAAGCCATGAGGCTCTCATCAGTGACATTTTTAGTCTAAAATTTCCCCCAATCTAGCTAGAACTGTCCACTTCCTTCCTCCCACAGCAGCTGACAGTCTCTCCCCAGGGTCAAAGTGGCACCACGCTGGGTGTTTCTGCTGACAAGGCCCCAGGTGGCAGGGCTGGGTGACACAGTCCCTCTCCCACTGTATCTTGGTTTTCTGCAGCAGCCCAGAAGGTGATAACCAGCCTCCTGTCTCAGCTTTCAATCACTCCCACCTGGAAGCTTCCATCCCCTTCCCAGGCCTCATGAGCCTGGAGACCTGAGCTCTGAGACCTGAGCTCAAGCACTACCGCTCAAGAAAGTCCCCAGGGCCCTGCAGCCACACGAGGCCCTGACTCAGCTGTGAAGCAGAGCAGGCAGTGACTGGACTTGCTGCTGTTGTTTCCTGGGCTTTCCCTGAGACTACGAATTCTGAAGGCAGAAACAGGGCTCATCTTCTTAGAAGGGTCACAACGGTGGGTCAAGTGGCTCATGGATCAGCGAGGGACGCAGACAGCACCATCTACACAGCCGGCTCTGCAGCACTGGCTCAAGTTCATGCCTTCAGGGGCTGAGGCCCAGACACACCAACCAACAGACACGACCCTCAAAGCCCAAATTATGTGAACAAAACCTCGCTGCTCTCCACCCCTTCTGACACTCCGGAGAAAAAGAGCCAGGAAGGAGAGCAGATGAAGAGTCAGAACCAAAGCCAACCTGTCACCCGGAAGTGAGTCCTCATCCAATGAGGAAAGTCAACCAACCAACTTGCACGGCATATGCTTGTACAAGCTCACATTTGTGCTGCTGTAGGTTAAGTACATACACGCGTTAGAACACTGTCTTCTTTCTAGTTCCACCACTCATGGTTTAATCAAAGGAAGATGGTAGAGGAGCGAGGGCCTCCGGGCAGGCTCCCATCAGTGCCAGCCACGAGGTGGTCAAGGCAAGAGGACTCCTCTTCCTTCTTCCATCCCCCTGCCTGCTGAGTTCCAAGACAATACGGCAGCAGTGTCTAGAGGCGCCCGGGACTCAAGGGGACCACCCCCCCAGCTCCCAGCACCCCCAGATAGTGACCTCATCCTCAGATGTGGACAAAAGAAGCGTGAAATGGTTGCAACAGGAATGAAAGGGAAGAGAACATAGAGGCGGCGATCGGGCAGGCTGCCACCCACTGGTGCCACACACATGCCACACACACCCAGCACAACCTTCAGAGCATCATCACCAGCCAGGACAGAGTCACTTCAAGACAGGCAAGGCCAGCACCGAGAGGCATGAAGCCTAGGACAGAGGCCCTGAAGGAGAGGAGGGGGAGAAACGGCAGGCGAGGCGGACCCAGGAAAGGCCACAGCAGAGTTGGCATGGCCAGGGACGTGGGCAAGTACATGGCACGGTCACCAGGCTGGGACCCAACCACGGCAGGTGGATGCACTCATGGCCTGGCACAGAGGGGAGGTGAGTGAGGGAGCAGCAGAGGCGAGTAGGACAGAGAGGAAGAGGTGCAGGTGGCAAACTAGGGGCTGCAGAGGGCTCTCTGGGGGCTGGGACGTCTGAAGGAGCCTCGGGTGGAACTGCTCTGCCTTGGTGAAGAGAGGGACTGCTGCTGGCGCATCTGGTGTCTCTGGAATTTTTTTTAAAGGTACCTCTTTCCGGATTTGGTTAGCAGACATTTGTACTGCTATCTTCCGGAGAATTTCAGTAGTAAATATTCCATCTCCACTGTCTACAGTACACGCATGGTATTATTATGTAGTGTGAAATCTGCATGACTATGCACAGCAGGCCTGGCTGCGAAGTATCAGGCAGGCCCCTGGCCCAGACAACAGGGAGAAGGTGGGAATACTTCTTTCTGCCTGGCTGCCGGCTGAATTTGAGAAGATGGCCTTGCCCAGGCAGGAAGTGGGGAGTCAGAGGTGAGGGGTCCTGGTTGTTGGAGGGATGGGTAGGAAGGGCAGCCAAGAACATGCTGCTTAGGACACAGGTGTGGGGTGCAGAGTCCAGGGCCCAGGGGAAGAGGCTGTGATTACGACTCCCTTCCTGGCCCCAGGAACTACTCTGCCTGATGCTCTGTGACAAGAGACATGGAGGCCACTCAGAGGTTCTCTGGCATCTTCAAGTGTCCTGGCCAGGGTTCAGAGAGCGTCCCGTCCCTTGCAAGGCAGGGCTTCGACCCCTCCTCTCATCCCTGGCCGGCTGTGGGGCGCCCCTGGAGGACGGAGACGGCAGGGAGAGCGGGCGAGGTCGAGGGAGAGCTCACCTTCTGTGCCCCTGAGAAGGCGTGGCAGGGACATGAAACATTAGGTCACATGGCCGTCCCATCCGGCCTTAGCGTGCCTACACATCTGCACAGAGAAGGAGAAGAGGTTGAGAGGAGCAAATAGCAGCGCAGCATAGAACAAACCTGAACAGCCATGGTGGGCAGAGAGAACTAGAGCCCGAAGCAGAGGAGAAACGAGCAGAGAGACAGAAATGGGGCAGGGGCCAGGAGGCTGGGCAGAAGTTGGGGTGGGGCAAGGCCCCCCATCATGCATTTTAAGACACATCACTCAGGCACCATGCAGAGCATGACAGGCCCTCAGGCCAAACTGTGGAGGGTCTGCAGTCAATGTGATGCCACACTGCTCTGGGGTCCTGCTTGTGAGGTCTGGGGGCAGGGGCGTTGCTGCCTGAGCTAATCCTGTGCAGAAAATGTTCACATCCTCAGTGTCTGTGGAGCTGCTGCAGTGGATTCTCCCTGTGGACTGTAGAACCTGCTCATCTGGACTTTAACCTCAGGCAAGCCCAGGCCAGCGCACTTGAAGGTGCTCACAGCCACCCAGCTCCTCTCTCCCCGCCCCCAGGGCTGGGCTTATGTGTGGAACAGAGTACATCAACCCCATGGGGGTCCCAGGCAGCACACAGAAGAAAACACGAAGCCCATAAGGGCCAGGGGCAGACCCAATCAGCTGTGCCTGTGAACGGGAGCAAGGGTAGGGTTTGTGACATCTTTGCAGAAGGTGAGGACATGGAAACAGGCACTACCGCCCCACAAGGGCCTCCCCCAGGAAAGCCTGCTGCTGTGGAGGACAGATGTGACCTGCAGGGGCTGCAGCTCACATGACTGACTCTTATGCCAAGGACCACATGACTGACCTCCCCCACACAGCCCTTCCTGCCTCCGCCAGTCAGCTGGTGCCAAGAGGGGCACTCCTGTACAACTTTCTCAGTGACAAAAGCAGAAGGAAAGAGAGAGAGACGGAGATGGAGAGAGACGAGGTATAGGAGGGGTAGGAGCCAAGCAAGAACAACACACCACTCCAGAACCAGGGCTAAATCTACCCATGAATCCAGGCCATCTAGATGCCCACTACTAGGCAGAGGCAGGCAGGCGGGCACTGGGGCAGGAGGCATGGTGTGGGGTCTGGCATGAGGTGTGCTGGGCATGGGAGGAGCAAGGGGCCCCAGGTACCTTCTGGGCTCCAGAGAAGGCGTGATAGAAGCTGGACACGTAAGTCATGATGGCTTTCTCATCCGGTCGGGCAGTTCCCACAATGTCTGTCAAGAAGAGTACAGAATTAAAACCCGTGGGTGAGCACATGGCACACCTCCCAATGCCACTAGAAAAGACACAGTGCCACGCAGACTCCACAGACAACACGCACTATCAAGAACGTGGGCCAAGCATGGTGGCACACGCCTGTGATCCCAGCACTGGCTGTGACGGGAAGACTGCTGCAAGTTTGAGGCCTACCTTCGCTGCAAAGTGAGTTTAAGGGCAGCCTGAACTGAATAGTGAAACCCTGCCTCAAAAAGACACAAAAAAGAGGAACAGGGCGGCAGCAAGGAGATGAACCCAGAGGGAGGAATGGTCTACAAGACAGCAGGCCCCGATTCTGACACACATTCAACAGAAAGAATGAAAGAGTCAGGACCATAAGCTCAGGGCAACTTAGTGACTTAGTGAGCCGCTGTCTCAAAATTTAAAAGACTGGGCATGTAGCTCACTGTGCAAGCCCTGAGTTCAATTCCCAGTATTGCAAAGGGCGGGGGAGCAGAGAGAGAAGAGAAAGACTGCAGATTAGAGAAGACACACAAACTCTAACCACCGAGCACCATGGACTCGCCTTGCTGCCTCTGGTCATAACAAACCACCTCTGAGACATTTTTTAGGTAAGTGGGGAAATCTGATTATGAACTGGCAACAGATGTTTCAAGGAATTATTATCCATGTGCCAGATGTGAAAACTCTTTTACAATTATCTAAAAACTATCTATAACTTTAAGGCACGTATTCTGTAGTAGTAGTGGTAACATGGGCTATCTCAGATCTGGCTTAATGTATTTCAACAAGTCAAAAAGTGCAACAAAGTCTCAATAACCATTACATCTGGAAGTCAGATACATGAAAATTCACTCTGTAATTCTCTCTGCTTTAGAACATGTTTGAAAATCTTCCTGATGACATTTTTCAACTTTCAAATGCCACTGGTGGGGAGGGAGCACAGCCGGTGTTGTGTTGTGTTGGACCCCAGCCCAGGCCTCCTGCCAGCCCCTCAACAGAGCATGGGCAGCTCGGAATGGGCCTGAGCGGCAGGGACCCACAGGGCTCATAGCAAGCAGCTGCAGTGCCAGGTTTCTCTGAAGGGGCTATGGCAGATGTGAGGACAAGGAGACCTAGACTAATGCCAGCCTTGAGGTCCTTGGGTTCCTATGCTGCTGGATGCTTGCCTTCCCTTGAGAACCTCTGCCTACCCACTGGACCTGCTATGTACGGTACAGGTGTACAGCTGGATTTAGTAGTCAGGAAGAGCTGAGTTTTGGGCCTAGGACCACAATTTTGCTAAGAATGTTCTTCTATCAACCCCTGAACCTGTCCCCTCCCAGACTGCCTAGCCAGCAGGGACTGGGATGCAAAGGTTCCCTGCAGGGGAGCCATGTCCTCTGGCTGGCTGGCATCTGCTGAGCAGATGGCTCCACGCTGGGACTGCTGAAAAAGGCCAACCCAGGGCTCTCCGGTGTCCATGGGAAAAAGGTGTGAGCCCAAGGTTAAACTCAGAAGCGCCAAGAGCAAACACCACATCCAGTCCATTGAGGGCCCTGCAGCTCTGAGGGCACTGCCCAGCCAGGTGACCTCCCACCCCAGACTGGAGGTAGGAGCTGGACCAAAAGGGAACATTCTACCCTATCTCTACTCACTGCCCTAACTCTAAGACAAAGACGACAGCCACCTGCAAGCCATCCATGCCGAAATAGCGCACAGAGGTACAGTATCTGCTGGCACCTCTCTCCCTCTGAACCACAGGGAGTCCTAGCATCCCTGACAGGCAGGTGATCCCCCAGCTCTGCAGATGATGTCCCAGAAGAAAGGCCGTTTCCCTTCCTGCTCAGGGGCCTAGCCGGGGCCTCCTTGGCTGCTGGGAGTGGGGACGCAGAGCTGGGAAAGGGTGGTGCCTTTACCTTCAGCATCCAGCATCTTCGGGATATCCAGGTACCTCTCTGCCACATCAAAGGCTGTGTTCAAGTTTGTTAGGGGATCGTCCTGGAGGGAGATGAGCAGGAAGTGATGAGAGAGCCCAGAAAAATCACTAGCTACCCAAGACTGGGTGACCACTTAAAATGGGGGACAAGGACTTTCTATTAGCCTCAGAGGGCAACTCTGGATGAGTAAAACTGGCCTCACCACCAGAGTCACTAGTTGAGGGTTCAAAATGTACCTGCCAGATGTATAGTATGTACCTGTAATCCCAACACTCCAGAGGCTGAGGCAGGAGGATCACTGTGAGTTTGAGGCCAGCCTGGGCCACAAAGTGACTTCAAGGCCAGTCTGAACTGCATAGTGAAACCTTGTATCCAAAAAAAAAGAATCTCTTTGAAACTTTCTTCCTCATAAAAATGGAGCAAAGATTATTGGCCTGTAGCTAGCTTCAAGGTAGGAAAAAGTTGGTAAGAAATGCTTGCTGGGAATAAATAAGTCACCACCCGGTTTCAGCTCTGCCACCAGCCAGCCGGAAAGTGGGTGAGTGACTGAACTCAGTTTCCCCATCCGTAACTCAGAGTTCGATGAGGACCCTCTTGGTTCTTTCATTTCACAAAATTTTAGAGCTTCTTCAAACAGCCACAACTTTTTGCCTATTCATGTTCCTGCTACCTTCTCCAGAAAGCTTGGCTGTTACTGGTAAGGACATAGAGAGGTGAGGATCTCTGGGCGTGGAACTGACACAGGAGTTATCACAGGCAGGAATGTAAAACGGTGCAGCTGCTGTGGAGAACAGCGCGGCAGTTCCTCAAAAAATGAAACACAGAGCTGCCCTGACCAGCGATTCCACTCCCGAGTGTACACCAGTCTCACAGAGACCCCCCAGACCTGTGCATTCATGGCAGCACTGTTCACAGCAGCCAGAGGGTGGAAGCCTGGGTCCATCAGTGGATGGAGGAATAAAAAAACTGGGTGCAGATACACAACAGTGTGTCGTTCAGCCTTCAGGAGGATTCCGACGTGCTGCAACAGCGAGCCCAGGAGACAGTAGGCTAAGTGATGTACTCCAGACACAGAAGGGTGGGTACTGTATGATTCCGCATTTTTTTTTTTTTTTTTGAGGTACCTGAATTAGTCAAAAATTGAGGATAGGAAGTTGCCAGGGCTGGGGAGGGGGGAGATGCAGTTAGTGCTTCCTGTATAGGGTGCTACAATCCTGCAGGATGAAAAGGAAGTTCTGCGGATGGATGGTGGTGATGGCTGCATGCCAGTGTGAACATATGCAATGCCAATGAAATGCACGCATAAAGCAGCAAAGATGGTACATTTTCTGTCATACGCGGTGTTTTTTTTTTTTAAATATATTTGATTGGCGGGGGCGCTTGGCAAGGTGAACTCCCTGCTGACCCTTCTGCTCCTTTGCTGGTTTCCCAGACTAACATAAGCAAGCTACTTTACAGGCCCAGGACTCAGTTTTCCTGTTCGCTCAAGTGAAAATTACCGGGTAACAGGTACAGGGATAAATACATTCATTAGCAACATTTTCAGGAGAAAATTTCTTAAAACAGAGCAGGGGGTATCCTTCTGGGAAAGTACCTGACAGCGGCCACAACCATGATGATACAAACAGGGCCAAGCAGTGAAGGTCATTTCCATCCAGGGCCCAGTGCACCCACCAGCCCCAGGAACTGCAGGGCCTCACCCATGCCACCCACCGGTGAAGCCAGAAGCAAGAGCCACCCAGTCAGAGCTCCTTGGTTCCCTACCCCATGTGCAACCTGTGCAAGCTCTGGAAAGCTCCCGGTGCTCTGGGCCGGGTGTGTGGGGGGATCTGGGCTGGAGTTCACTGGTAGCAATGAGCTAGAGAGAAGGAAAGGCCGAGATGCCACCCAACAGGGAGAAACAGACATGGAGTGGGTCAGAAGGCACAGGAAATTTTGCTGCCGTGGATTTCCTGCTCCTTCCATGTGCTTTGGCCGAAATCAGACTGACTGTGCTTTTCCTGATGCAGGCCGGGTTCCACTTTCTCCCCAGCAGAGCCGCTCGAGAGAAGCTGTCCCCTGCTTCCAGAGATGCTCAAAGACACGCTGGGCCATGGGAAGATGGTCCAGCTCAGACCCCAAGAACCAGCATGAGGCCGGCTGCTTACCACCCCCTCAACACAGCCACTCCAGACCAAAAACACAAAGGAAGAAGAGGAGCCCACAGGCGGGCAGCAGCCGTGACTGTGGAACAGGTCAGGAGCGATGCCGGGTATGGTGTCTTTTGGAATATTTAAACTCACTGGAGTATACCACCACCTTACAAACCTGGAACAGGAGGGTGAAGTGCTCATCCCTCAGGACACCACTGCCACCTGTTCCGTAACTTTCCTGGTGGACTGTGTGTGTGCCCAAGGACAAGTGTATGGCACGAAGCTGGCAATGAGGCAGCCCCAACAGGTAGTTTCTGCTCAGTAAATCGGGCTCCACCCCTGAGGGGTGGCTCATCGGCATCCCTTAGGCTCTCACAGCTCTGTCCCAGGAGGTGGCAGCCTGGGGCGAGGGGAGCACACGTACCTTCCGCAGCTTGCCGTAGTCAATAAGCTCAGGCCGGTGTCGGTGGATCAAGGCACAAAAGCCAAGGCCATCCTTCCAGCTGCCGGGGCAGACAGAGGGGACAGGCTGGTAAGTGGGCTGAACACAGGGCACAGGGCACTAATCAGGGCAAAGCACCACACAGAGCTGGCTTGACTCTGGAGATGAGAACCTCACTCTTGAGAGCAAATGTTAAGTGAAGACAGGAAGAGATAGGGTGTTTCTGCCTTTCTGGGGCAGACTGGGGAATGAGCCCAAGGCCTCATACTAAGAGACACCCCCAGCCTTTTTTTTTTAAAGTTGTTAAATTATTCAGACTGGGCTTGAACCTGTGATCCTCCTGCCTCAGGCTCCCAGGTTGCTAGGATTATAGGTTTGTACCACCATGCTAGGCTAAAAGATTCTTCTTGGCATGACTCCAGGGGCACCCCTTTGTAAGAGGCTGGCCAGGGAGACAAAACTGTCTCATCTATCTTCCCCTACCAAGGTCCGTGGCCCTAGACTTCTGGTCTGGCATCTTGGGCTGGAATTCCCTGGACATTCTCCCTGGTGATCGTCCCAGTAGCACAAACACCAATCAAAGGTGTGTCAGGCAGTGGCTGTGTCCAAGACACTGTGGGGAAGGGACACAGGGGACAGCAACACCTTTTTTTTTTTTTTTTTGGTACCAGGAATTGAACTCACAAACTCACGTTTGCCAAGTAGGTGTTTATACCACTGAGCTAAATCCCCGGCCCCCAACACCTCCTTTACAGAAAAGGCACTTCCTACCCAAGAGACCTGACTCTGACCCAGAGCTAACCCTGACCAGCCAAAGGGGCCCAGGAGCTCTCGAGGGAGGTGGCCCCTCTCCCCGGAGCACCTGGCCCACGGCACTCACCTGATGTGGAAGTTCTGGATGTTGACGTTTTTATAAGGGGCTGTCTTCCTCTGACACCACAGGAGCAGCCCTTCCTTGGCAGAGGTCTCTGTGGGGAAGGGGATGGCACAGGGATCAGCAGGTGGCCCAGGGGAGGCAGGGGACTGTGACCTCTAGATTCCAACCCTGCTATCGCCAAGGAGAGAAGCAAGTCCTGAGTTATTTCCCCAACTTATTCAAGGAAGTGGCAGTATACGAGATAAGCCCATGACCTCTGTCAGATGGCCACTGTGGGAAGGAGCTGGAGTAGTCCTGGGGAGCTAAATTACCAGCAGCTGCCACACAAAGGATTATGCAGCCTGCAAAGCAGAAAGACAGCATGAGGATTCAACACAGGTCTTGGGCTTCTATTTACTACACGTCGGCACCAGTGCCATCTCCTGCCATGTGTGTGAAGTTACGTGTCTTGCCAGGCATCGTGGTGCATGTCTGTAATCCCAGCGCTCAGGAGGCTGAAGCAGGGGAATCACTGAGTTCAAGGCCAACATGGGCTACAAGGTGAGTTCAAGGCCAGCCTGAACTGCATAGTGCAGATATCTGAAAGGAAAGGCTGCAAACCACACCACTGTCCTGTGCTCACATCTGTGAAAAGCAGGCTGCCGTACACAAGGAAACGGATTCATGGCTGATCTCATTACCTTCAACTCTCAAAATGACACTAATGGGTGCCTAGAAAGACTATAATAATCTCAGATACAAGCTCAAGGAAGAGACAGAAAGTCCCACCATCAGTACCCAAAACTGAAATTCTTATTAAACTATTCCCTGGCAACAATTTAAAAATTAGCAAAGCTAATGCCTCTACTTAGTTCAAGGTTTCTGGTATGTCACAAGATTTAAAATAATGATAATCTCATCAGTGTTGACAAGAAGTCCACCAAAGGAGGAAAAAAAGCATCAATAAGACTATTTACGGTTCCTTCTGCTGCTGCTGCTGGCGCCCTGCCACCCTGCCTTGTGTGAACTGTTTGTCCTCTGCAATGGCCCTCTGCCGGACCATCCTGCCTTGGAGCCAACTGACTATGGATGGAAACCTCTACAAACTGCGAGTGAAATAAACCTTTCCAAAAGAACAAGAACAAGAACAAGACCATTTGAAAAATGGACTTACACCCACTGCTGACAACATGAACCTACCCTGAGTGACTATTATGGACCCAAATACTAAGTACCTACAAGTGGAATTTATCACACAGTGTCAAACCAAGGGCTGCATATTAAAGCAACTTAATCTATGTGGTCTCCATCAAGAAACTTCTTTGAAGGCCTAGGGGTATGGCTCAATCAGGGAATACCTGCCACCAGGTGGGAGCCCTGGGTCTGATGTCCAGCACTGGGGGGTCAGGGAGGGGGAATTCCACTGAATAAAAATGTTTTAAGATTTCCATGCCACAAGGGCCGGGGATTTAGCTCAGCAGCATAAGTACCTGCCTGACAAGCATGAGGTCATGAGTTCGATCCTTAGTACCACCCAAAAAAAAAAAAAAAATTCTATGCCACTAAAATAAGTTTAAAATATTTTTAAAATATAATCATTTTCTTTTAAATTTTTGCTTTGGTATGTTTATATATTTGTATATGTATTTTATGATGCAAAGAGCAATACACAAATATTTCAAGTTAAATGTATCAATATTAGACACAGAGCTCAAAAACTGCTGGAATGTGAAATCAAGTTGGGGATCACTACCCTAGACCGTGGTGGCCCTGGCAAACCTTCAAGGGGCCACCAGGGGGCGCTCTGGGAAAAGTGGTGAATTGGAACCGGCTCCCTCTACCTGTACTCCTCCCTCAAGGTTCAGTTACATTCCTGGCTTCCAATACCAGCCGTGGGCTTTCCCACAGTGAGGCGTTTTCTTGGAGCCAACAGGCCTATAGGTCACTCATGAAATCTGATGTAGGCACAGATATAAACTTTCTTTTAGTACAGCTTTTGCTGTACCCTGTGAGTTCTGGCCCAACTCTATAGGGACCAGTACCCCAAATATACTAGGTCTTACTTCACAATGCAGACTAGCACACAGAGACACTGCTCAGAAGTGGGTGAGAACAACAGGACGTGGCCTCAGGTTCTCCCAAGGGCAGTGCCAAGTGCCAAGGGCAGAGGTGAAGCCTTGGGAAGGAATGGAACAGAGCAGAAACTCACCTTCCACGGAGATGTCCTGGATGGCAAAGCGCAGGATGATGGTCCAGATCATGCCCAGGGTCATTTTCACATTCCCATCCACAATTTCTGCAGAAAGGGTGGCAGGACATTAGAATGGGTTTACCAGGGACAAGATTAACATTCCCAGATCGCCCACATGACTCAATGGACCGTGCCAAAAATCAAATACTGCAACGTGCCATTTCTCAAGGGAAAGAGGAGGGCTATCCTTGCATGCATGCATGCATGCATGCATTCATTCATTCATTTGTGGGAATGTACCCCCAGACCTCACATACACTAAACACAGGCTCTACCTCTGAGGTACACTGCCAGCCCCTAAAGGAAGTTTTTTAAAAGTGAGTGCAATCAACCAGTGCCAAGAGAGAAGTCCACATGGGTCACAGCGAAGGTGCAGACAGTGGGCAAGTCAGGAAAAGCTACAGAGAAGGGGTGCCTTGAATGAACCTGACCGAAGAGGGATTAGATTTCTAAGCCATCACACAGAGTTTGGCAATTCTGTGAACTTCGGGTGTCACAGAAATCACAGCTCTCAAAACAGCCATCTACACACCAACGGCCAAGGGGAGCAAGGCAGCCACAATCTTGCCAGGGTTTTACAAACTGCCATCCTGAATGATCCACTGACCCCCAGACCAACCTCACAGTATTACGAGCTGAGCACTAAGGTAGATTTCTGGTTTTAAATCAAATGGCTTCTAGATCACAACTCAGACGCACCAGCCCTTCCAAAATGGGAGCTTCTGCCACTCCTAGTGACATTGTGTTATTTCAATATACTTTCCAGCACTTCTCAGGTAAAGATTTGGCTTCTTGTACAAATGTGCTTACAGAATAAGGGGCAGTATAAATATTCTAGCTACTTGTTACTTTGTGGTACAAGATTACTTAGATGTTTAGATTATATGGATCTGGTCACTATGAAAAGGCTTTAGGTCTACAAAATAGGGGCTGGATCCAATTTGAGCCTGAAAGTAAAAAATTTTAGAGGCTCTATGGTAATAAACACATAGATATCTTAGTGTATTCCTTCACCACTACTATAATTAAAATGAGAGAATATTAGATTTTTTTTGTCAAAACATGGACGAGTCTGCACACTCCTCAACCTCACCTGTTGTATTTGGGTTAACGCCTCTGAACAAATAGGGATACCTTTGTTCCTGAACTCAATTTATTACAAATGTGTTCAAACACCGAAAAGTTAAGGAACTGAAATATTTTTCCCATAACTAAAGGAAAACCAAATAATGGTTTCCAAGTTCAAAACTTATAAATTCTTTTGTGTAGGACAGAGAATAACTGTCATGATCCTCACAGTTTTCCTCTTAGTTTCCTGCTGGTATCACTATCTTTGGAAGCATGGTTAGAAAATTTTATACAAATTAAACATTAAAAAATAAAGCAGTGACGAACGGTTTAATGCGCTAACACAAGCGGTCTACGTTGCTCTGTGACAGCAACGCTTAAACTCAAGTGTCACCCCATGGTGTCCCAGGTGAGACACGACCCAAGACTCACCCTTGATCCGCACAGGTTTGTTCGGTCAGATTTTCTTTTCTTTCTTTTTTTTTTTTGTCTTTTTCATTTTTTTTTATCAGTACCAGGGATCGAACTCACGACCGCCTGCTTGCAAAGCAGGTGTTTATGCTGCGGAGCTAAATCCCCAGCCCCTCGGTCAGATTTTCAGTGTGATATCAAGTGAAGTCACAAACACTATGCTGATTCTTTTAACTTTGCTGTTTGAACAGTGCAAAGTTCGAGCTTGGAGCCTTGTGACAACCAGATATCACTGTAGCGGTTAAAATATTAAAGACGAAGGGCTTCTGCCGAATGTTGCCTAGGTCTACAACTTTCTGAGATACTTTCATCACGACTCTGTCATCTTTAGCCTGTGCTTATTTAACACAGTTTTGACAGGAAACTTAAATGTCAGTGGCTTGCTAATGTTCTTGTCCTCTTTTCCAGACTATCAAACAATGATGTTTCATCAGACAACAAAACCCATCTTTCTTCATCTCCTTTAGATCAGATGGATGAGACTTTGGACCCTGGGGAGGCGGCATCGATGCCCCTCTTCAGCCTGAAGCAGTAGAATTAAGATGGGTCCTGGCCACCCACACTCCTTCTGAGTAACAGAACCAAGGTTTTGTTTTTATTGGGGGTTTTTTGGTGACGGTAGTGGGGTGAAGTAGGATAGAAGAAAGAAAGGTAGAAATGTGACAAGGAAAATCATAGCTAAATTTTTGTACCTCTTTTTTGTTTTTGTTTTTTGGTACCAGGAATCAATCATGACCTCGTGCTTGCCAGGCAGGCACTCATGCTGCTGAGCTAAATCCCAGCCCTGTTTGTTGTTTTTTTGAGATAGGGTTCTGCTACGTTAGTCCAGGCTGGCCTTAAACTCACAGCACCCTCCTGACTCAGCTTTCTGGGACGACAGGCGTACACCACCAGGCCCAGTTTTTAAATTTATACCAGGACAAAGTTACCCAAGGTCATCCATATCTGGAGTCCTTAAATTTATTTACAATTCTTTCTAGGTCCATCATACCCAAAGTCCCCTAAAGACACTGTAAAATCATAAATTAGCCTAGTTGCTAAAGTAAAGGGCAGAAACCGGATCTTATGATAAAAAGAACAGGCCTGGAGAGTTCAAAGAATGTTTTTAGGAAAAACAACTTAATCACCCATTTGAAAAAAACTACTGCTGGGGCTCCTGTTTTTCCCAGGAGCATTATCTTTCTGTGGGTGGGTTACCCTTTTTCCTGAAAACCTGGACAAGGACAACTTCCTGCAGATTATCAATGCCACAAATTTCCAGCCCAAAACACAGATATGCCAAGTTCTAAAATGTAGCCTCCTTCTTTTCTTCCGTCTGTCTAGCCCATGCTCTGCTTCTTTGAGTGTGCACTTTTAAATACTTAACTAATAAATTCCTTTATATCTCCTCTTTAAAAAGTCACTTCTTAGAGATGACCTGCAACCTTTGGTCTAAGCAGTACCTTTTAGAATTTTTAATGCTATACATTCTATTAAGTTCTTTTTTTTTTTTTTTTTTTTTTTTTTTAACTATACTAGGCCTAAAAGCAAGAAAGACAAACATAAAGCAGTCCCTTAGGCTGCTCAAATTCAGACTGCTACTGTCTCCTGTTTGCAGACCAGGGGACATTTACCGGGTCTGTGGCCAGGTACTCTCAGTTGAGAGTGAGACACCCAAACTGTCACTTTTCCCCTCCCGCAACACTAGCTTTAGAGGACACTCAACAGAACCACAAGAACCATTTCCAAGGAGCAGCAATTTGCTTTGACTACATCCAGTAGGTCGGTGTCTGACAAACTCCTTAAACAGACTGGATTCCCAACAGGAAGGTATTACTCTTAGATCTTTGCCCCTTCCTCAAAGGTGAGGGCAAAACTGAATGCAGCCCTGTGACCAGAGTGGTACAGAGTAGCAAGCAATCTCTGGCCAAGGCTGCTCCCAGACACTAAGGAGGCGCAGTCCCCTAGTGAGGCTTGGACAGAGCCCAGACAGCAAAGGCTATGGATATTTTTGTTAACAACAGAGGAAGCACTATTACCCACAAAAACCAGTTCTTAAAGCTTTAATACTTTTTTTTTTTTTTTGGTGTTCTTGAGACAGAATCTCGATATGCAGTTCTGGCTGGCCTTGAGCTCACTTTGTAGCCCAGGCTGGTCTCGAACTCCCAACGATCCTCCCACCTCAGCCTCTCGAGTGCTGGGATTACAGGCCTGAGCCACCACGCCCAGCTCTAAAGCTTTAATATTTTTAAAGATGCACTTATATCTCCAACTTTTAACGGTTTAACATCTAACATTAAACAAGTTTGAACTGGTAATAAAAGTCTAAATTCCCAACAGGTAAACAGATGAAAGATATGAATAGACACATCATAAAACATGAACTACAAATAGCCAGTTTGTAAGAATGTTCTACCTTACTTGGAATCAAGGAAATTTTCCCAAATATGAAGCTATGGAAGTTAAAAAGCAGATATACCTTGATGCTAACAAGACTACACTGTAGCTAGTATAACCTGGCAGGAAGAGCAGGAGGAAGAGAAGCGAGAACAACCCGGAGGGAAACCACTTGACAACAGCGACAAGCATCTTAAAAGTTGTTCAACAGTGAAATTCTCTCTGTAGAACTCTACCCCTGGCCAAAGACCTGAGATGCAAAGTACAGTTTACTGTTCAGTTATTTATCAGGGCCCCAAACTGCAAACTCAATAAATGCATAAAGTACAAAGAGTTCCTGAGTAAATAGGCAGAGTCGACACCTCGACACCTGGCTGTTCAAATCTCCAAGGCTCCCCTCCCTCAGAGAGGAGGAAGCTCACAGTGCAGTCCTCTCCCTGGATATCCACATGACCAGTTCCTTTCAGCTCCCAGGTCATCTTATGGACACCTTCCCTTCACTACTTACTTAACTCCCTGCAAAAAAAAAAAAGTCCTCCTTGGGTATCCTCCCCTGGTTATATCCCAACCATACCTCCGGGCCACGTCTTGATCCTGTGAAGTGCAGACATTCTAGAAGAAACTACCACAGAAGACATCTCAGGGATCATTCTGACCCCTTCCTGACACACACAAGTGCTCTGCCTCCAGTCTCCACCTGGAGCCCTGAGAGACAAGGACCACAAGACCTTCCTGGAGAAGTTTTCTTTCCCATTTTCCAGAATGGGTCTGCCCGGAAGTCTCCCTTCCAAGACCTGGTTCTACCCTTTCGTGTTGACCAGAAAGTCCAGTCCACTTCAGTCCTTGTACCACAGGACAATCCTTCAAATGCTGGGTGTGTGTGTGTGTGGGGGGTGTCCCCACAGGGTCTGGTCCCCAGCACAGCACTCCGAAGTCCTGGATGCTCTGATATCAGGACAGCTGGCAGCAACACCTGCCCCCTTCCAGCAGAGCTCAGTCCAGGTGACCCGATCCACTGCCTCTGCTTCCTGCTCTATCACAGCAGACTTCATTTCATTCAGAATGAGCCCACCGGGAGGCTCATCGAGTTTCCAGCCCGCTCCACATAGCTGGCTTGAATCGGGGTAGGTTATTTCAGACCAGAGGCCCCAGCTACGTACACCAACTGCCTAGGGCACTGAGAATACCCTACTTTAGGCCTATGTTAAAGGACCGGAGCATGAAGTAGGCCAGGCAAAGGCAGAGTTCACGCCAGGGTGTGACTTAGCTCCTCAACAAGCGCACAAACCACCTGCCACCTCCTTTCGGAGACAAATGAGCTGTGCAGTTTGGGTCCTGCGTCCCATGGGGAGGCAGGAAGAGTGACAGGAAAGTTAGACCTCGCCTGGAGTTCCAACGCCTTTGTCACGTACTGGCAGTCTGATTCAGAGTCTGGACTCAACTGACTAGTTTTCCTCTAAGGCAACTTTTCTGAGCCTCAGTTTCCTTATTTGTGAAATATGGCTGTTCACAGTCAACCTACAGGCCTGGCATGAGGTCAAAGGATAACCTCAGAAAGCATCCCACCCCACCGGGCACAGCCAGTACTGGTAACTGCTGTTCTTTCTCCCTTCCGTCCTCTTTGGAAGCATCTTTCAAAAAAAAAAATTTTTTTTTTCTAGTTTGTCGCCTATTTTTCCATTCTAAAAATCTGGCTTTCTGGCATCTTCCGAAGTACACGAAGATGCTGTGGCTGAAACTGTATTCCCAAACAGATCTTGTGGTGCCCGCTCCACCGAGCCGGGCCAGCTCTCTTTCACCACTCTCCACCCAGCCCTGCTGCTCGGTCCAGCTCCACTCACAAACTTTGCACTTCTCTGCCCCGGTGGGCATGTGAACTGGCACCAGACCACAGTGGGGCATCTTCCTCGGCTTCCCCTGCTTGAAAATGTCTGCCAAGTCATTGCTTCTCCTTGACACAACAAATAGTTCTTTTCTAATTGGGCTGGGGATTTAGCTCAGTGGCATAAGCACCTGCCTTGCAAGCAGGCAGTCGTGAGTTTGATCCCTAGTACCGATTAAAAAAAAGTTAAAAAAAAAAAAAAGAGTTCTTTTCTAATTATTACAAAGCAGACAACATTCTCCCAATCACAAAGCAGAGTACCCTGCTGTATGCAAGTGCTTACAGTGATGCAAGTGATAACTGAGATCTGCTGTGTCCAAATCACTGCTAGGAGTTGGGGTCATAGGACATAGAAGACAAGGCTTCTGCCCATCAGAAAGCCCTTCAAGGCAGGCATGGGAAACCTTTGCTATATACTCTCCATGGCAACTACTTAACTCAGCCATTGCAGCCAGAAGAGGCCAAGGATGACACACAAACAGGCAGGCAAGGCTGAGTTCCAGTATTTCCAAAGACCTATGTGCGGTGGATTCAACTCCACACACCATGGTTTGCTTAACTTTCTCTATCTGATGCATTCACATAACATCCCTCAATTTTGGAAAAGAAAAAAAGTGAGGTCCTAAGAGAAGAGATCTGATCCCATGGATTCAATGGTAGCAAGATCCTGCCCATAGAAGCACAGACTGCCTGCTGGGGAGATTTCCCTGGTGTCATGCAAACCTGGGCCATTAAGTAAGCAACGCACCATGAGCAACTACAGTAGTCTTCCTGGCTGTAACGTTGGGGTAATAATCAGAGCTACTTTTGGGGTGGCTGTGAAGTCTAAGTGAGATTGCTGGCTGAAGGCTTCACACAGTACTTTCCACATAGTGCATGCCTGGTAGCCATGGTCGATCTTGAATCACAGCCGTGTTGTATCCATCTTCAGATCTCTGGTGTCACACAGCAGGTGCCTGATAAATGCTTGCTGAGCCCACAGGCCATATTACTAAGAGGGCCTCATTACAGTATTCCTTTGCCCTCACCCAGCTCCCCCAGCCTTCAGAGCCATCTCAGAGCACACCAGAAATCGTGCCACTGCCTTTAATTAAGAACATGCTAATAATCATTCAAACAGCATCTTTAAAAAAGTTTTTCAAAGTGATGAGAAGAAATTCAAGAAGCTATACTGTAGGAGAGTGCTATTTAAAGCATGGCTTTGGGATCAGCAGTCTCCTGAAGGCCTATGGAGCCTCAGGGCTCAGCAGCCTCTCCCCCAATCCCCAGTAGTCTACAACCCCAGCCACAGATTCTCCCTTGCAGGCAGCAATATGCAGCCAGGCCTATGGGTGAGGGGGCAGTGGTCCAAACTGAAGGTGTGCATGGTGCAAAGGGTCTGACGGAGTATGGGAAAGGGAAGGGAGGTCAGTTCTTGGTACACAGAGCGCCGTCCATTCAGGCTGACAGGACTTGTTTTCAAATGTTCCTGCTGATGCCTGAGCCCAGCATTCAAAGCAGAAAGGGCCAAAGAAATTAGCGGATGCAGACCATCATGTTCCCTGGGATAGCTAAGGGTGGGCCCCACTCACCTTCAGCGCCGATGGACACCAGTTTGACCCCCTTGCTGGCTATGAAATCCAAGGCCTTATTCACGTTAGAGATCTTGTGCACCCGCATCTTGCCTCTCTCTGGCTTGGCCAACCGTTCACCTGATCGAGGAAGAATACACAGATGAGACAGAACTGTCGAAAGCCAGGGCTGCTTTCATAACACACTCATCCATGGTGCCCATGGACAGGTACATGCGTGCAGGCACACACACCCTCTGGGTGCTGCAGAAGACCACCTCAGAAGGAAACAGGAGTGCCCACCCTGCCTCTCCTCTCTCCCTGCATGTATTCATTTGCAGACTGAAACCTGCATGTACTTAATTCATAAGTATTTCCTTATTAAGACCCTACTATATGCCAGGGATCGGACTAGGGGTTATAAGTGAAATATTTTCTTGTCCTTATGGAATTATAATCTAGTAGGAGAGACAGACTTTAACTAAAGAAACATATAATGAACAAATACCAAGAAGAATCCAGTGCTCTTTCAAAACAGGAGTATGGGAGAGAATTTGAGAATGATCAGGAAAGACTCAAAGTCAGCTAAACACTGTAAGGAATAGTAATCAAGGCAGAAGAGCACTGTGTGCAAAGGCCCTGAACCCTAGACTATACTGCAAGTGTAGGTGTCTTAATGTATCCTGGAAAAGTCCCCTGATGTAGAAAACGCTGCCCACATGAATACCTCCACATTTCAGACTACTGCTCCCATCCTGTTACACAGCCTCCCGTGAGTGTTCACAGCTCCACTCTGAGTCAGCTTCCATTCCACCACACATGCACACACACACACACACACACACACACACACACACACACACACATATATATACATACACACTGAGCTTCAAGAACAGAAGCTGCAGGAGCGTGAGGTAGAGCACTACTTCTCTAGATATCCCATGAACACTTCAACCCTATTATGTTTTATATGTAGATAGTCCCCCAAAGCCTCATGCACTCATGGGGCTGGGATCCTAGAGTTTGTGATCAATTCATGGTCCAATGCAGGGATTATGGGTACTGGGTACTATATCCACCCTGTGGCAGGCAGCCTGCATACAATATAAGGGAGACAGAGTCTTCTCTCTCACTCCTCCCTTTTTGTTCTTGTTGCTTTTGTTTTATCTTCCACCACCCAGAAGTGTTCCTTCTCTGCCATGTGCCATCCTGCCTTGGAGCCAGCTGATTATGGACTGAAACCTCCACAAACTGTGAGCTAAATAAACCTTTCCTTCCTTAATTTTGGGCACCAGGTATTTTGTCTTAGCATGAAGGAAAAGTAACTAAGACAGAATATGGTACCACACAAGTGGGGTTGTTGATGTAACTATATCTGATCATGTGGTTCAAGGGGCTTTGGGAATGGCCTGTGGGAAGAGTTTGGAAAAGTTTGGAGATGTCATCTGAAAGTGCAGAGCTGAAATGCCTTAGGCTGTTCTGTATGGGAGATTCTGGTAGACTCAGAAGACCAGAAAGTTGAAAGAAATCCTGCCAGGTAAAGTCCAGGCTCAGATTTCTGCTAGGAATTAGAACTACATTGGCTGTTGGCACTCTAGATGATGTGTGTTATGACTTTGACAAAAACTTTGTCTGCATGTTGCTTATGTCCAGAGACTAAGATTAAAGGCAGCAGTCTAATTAATCTGGCAGAATCAATTTCAAGGCAGTCAAATGTTGAGGCAGTGGCATGGCTATTGTTGAGGACAGTTAGCCAGATTTATGTTGAGAATCAAGAGCAGAGTCTAGCGGATGATTTAAAACATGAGGTTAGCCAGAAAAGAAGCTCCAATAAAGCTGTGGTCTGCAAAGATAGAGCTGAGGAGATCTTGATTGCTGAGAAGGAATAGGAGAACACAAAAGATGGCCTGAGAACATCACAAGAAGCAACAAGTCTCCACCCTTTGCTGCCTCAAAACTGCAAAAATCAGAGTTTGCTTTGAGGAGAAAGCCACAGAATGGCAGGTGCCACACAAGGTTCCAGAATAGCAGTGGCCATGCCATGTGCCAGAATGGCAGTGGCCTAGAAAATCTGTTCCTTGGAAATGGATTCAGAGTGCTCAGTAATCCAGGCACTTGACCTCTACAGCCAAGAAGGAAGCCAGGCTCCAGCTGGCAGCAGACCCTGGCATCATCCACACAGTGCTGGTTTTAGGCAGATGCAGAATACAACAGTTGTGGGGTTAAGAAGGATTCCACTACAATTTTAGAAGGCCTGGGATGTCAGGCAGCATGCCCCTGAGAGGGCAGTGTGTGACGCTGTGAGAGTGAAGCCAAAGGTGCAGAGGAGACCCCAGAAGTTTGGAGAAGCCAGGAACATGGATCATCTGAGGAAACCTGCAAGGAGAGGGCAGACTGGACCCAAGAGAGAAGCCATGAGAGCTACAACCACTGGAACTGCCACAGGCACAGAGTCACAAAACCCCTTTAGAGCTTACAACTTGCCACAGATTGCTTCGGATGTTCCACATGGAACTACAAGACTTAACGTTTGCCCTCCTGGATTTTGAATGTAGTTTGGTCCCATTCCTTTATAGTCTCGTTTGTAACTTTTGGGATGGAAATGTCTATATTGTACCATTGAATGTTGGAAATGTTTAACTTTTCATTTGAATAAGAACTCACAACTATGAGTTTGTCTTAGATCTCAGAGGAGAGTTGAGATTTGGACTTTTCATCAATGCTAAAACTGTTACGACTCTGACAACCCTTAGAGATGGACTAAAATGTCTCTTGCATGAAGGGATGTACATGAGTCTTTGTGGAGACAGAGGCTGGATATTATGTTTTATATCTAGATGTTACCCAAAGCCTCATGGAGTCATAGGGATGGGCTTCTAGAGTTTGTGATTTTTTCATGGTTTATTCAGAGATTTTGGGTGCATACGGCCTGCATGGGGAGTAGCCTGCATACAGTACAATGGAGGGAAAGAGGTTTGCTCTCTCACTCCTCACTTTTTGCTCTTGTTGCCACTATAAACTGTTGCCCCTCTGCTATGTGCCACCCTGCCTTGCTGGTTATGGACTGAAACCTCTGCAAACTGGGAGCTAAACAAATTTTTCCTTCTTTAACTTGGGACATCAGTATTTTGTCTCAGCAATGAGAAAAAAAAGTAAGGCAAATCCAAACAGAGTGTCTAGGCACCTCCTAAAAGGATTCACAAAAAGCAACATGTGTGGTCATGCCCAGAAAAAGAATGTGAAGCTTGCAGAGTCCATGAGGGTGAAGGAAAAGCAGGCCTGTGTATGCCATGACCTCCAGCCAGACAGCAGCAGTCTGGCTAAGAAGGCTCCAAGCTGGCAGTGTGACACTGGACCATGTCTGCCTCTCAACAGGTACCCCCTTAGCTTGTGGAAGGCAGCAGACTCCCTACACAAATGTAACTGGGCCTCTTTTCCTGCAGAACACAGCTGCTTTCTTATTAATCTCATTCAGGGGTCTCCTCAGGCCCAGCAAGGCACCCACTATCTCCTACCAGGGAAGAGGCACAGGGCTCCCTATTCCCCACAGGAGGGATGGAGGCAGCGCTGATATGACAGCTCTAGGCTCTGCCAAGCCAGTCAATTACCAGCTTTGCACACAAGCTGAACTAGACTTCCCTGAGGCCAGAGGAGTGACCAGGGCTAAATTCGGGAGGATGGGGAAGTCTTCCAAGGTCAGGCAACAGTTCTCCAATTTGTCAGCACAGAATCAGTGGGAGAACTTGCTATGCTTAGAGGTCACCTCCATGGTTTAAGAGGGTCCAGTCAGGGCCTGGGAGTCTGCATTTTGACAGGAAGTCCCACTAATTCCAGTGTGGGCAGTCCAGGGACACTTTGAGAAGCTTGTAGGCAGCATTCTCCTTCCTTCTCCTCCCCCAGACCACCTGCAAAACCTCAGGAGGAAAAAAATGACATCTTGCTGACCAGACCATCTTCAGCCCTAGAGGAGAGATACACATGCCTCACAGAAGGGCCTCAGGGCTCCCTGTGGGCACAACCCAGACCTCTCTGGTGGGATGCACAGGGGGCTGATAAGTCTGCTGAGGGCACCCAGTCAGCCTAGTAATTTTGGGGTATTATGCGTCTGCCACTTAAGTTCAAGGCATCTGGGACACAGAGACACTGCATTGTGCCCCCATTGTGTTCAGTGTGGAGTAGGGAAGAAAATGAGTGAGCCCCAAAAGATTATACCATATGATGAGAGATATAGCTCAGGAATCGATAGGATTTTTATACACGGCAAGGGGCAGGGGGTGCAAATCAGATGCTGGCAGGAGTTCCTGGGGGCACCCCTAAGCTGAGTCATAAAACATGACAAGTGATGCAGGTTGACTGGTCTTCAGTTAAAGAACACTGAGGAAGAGGCAGGAAAGGACCTTCTGAAAAGCAGAACAAAATGGTACAATAGTTGGTTCCTTAAAATTTAACAGTAAGTTATCATATGACCCAACAATTCTCCTTCCAGGTATATAACCCCTAATGGGACTCAAGAGAAAAATGTATTCATCCACTCTTGCCCACAGCAAATTATTCACAACACAGAAAAGATAGAAACAATCTAAACCAGCAGCAGACGAATGGATAAACCAAACACATTGACACACCCAATGGAGCATGATTTGTCGTTAGGCAAGACGCATCCTACTCCATGAGTGAACCTTAAAGACATTACACTCTGTGAAACCTGCCAGTCATAAAGGGGAAATAGCACAGGACTCCCCTTCTGCAAGGTACTCAGAGTCATCAAACTCAAGGACAGAAGAGAAAATACAGTGGTAGTTGTGGGGGGTTCAGGGGTACCAAGGAGAGAATGGGGCATCTACACTCAGTGGGGGCAGAATTTCAGTTTGAGATGATAAAAAATTGTGAAGGTGGATGGTGGTAATGGCTGCACAACAATGTGAATTACTGATGCACTGAACAGTATGCACGCATGAAAACGTAGTTTTGTGCTATGGATATTCACACCCGCACCCCCCTACACACACCCACGCAAGTTTTACCTGAAAAGGAAGTACATATAGGAAACTATTTTCAAAAAAGAGAACTACTGTCATGAGATGGGGCACACGTCACCTGGGGAGATCAAGATTCCTGGTGCGAGAGAGCCTGAGGTCTGCTACCTTTTTGGGAATACAAGTGCCAGCTCACCAAGGATCCTGTGAGACACACAGGAATGTGACTCGGGCTCAGAGCCCTGGGGAGGCACAGAAGGCTTGCAGCAGGGAGCAGCATGACCATATTTGGGCTGGAGGGTGATCCCTGGGCTGCAGAGTAGGGGCAGAAGGTGGGGAGGGGAGGGGCGGGCCACGGCCTCCAGGGACAGTCTGTGTGGGAGTTGCCAGGGCCCACACCAATGCGGCAGAGGCAGAGATTAGGATCATGAGGACCCAATGTGAATGCAGAGTGGGGTGAAAGGCAGACACAGAGTGATCTGCAGTTCCCAGACTGGGTGAGGAAGGCGAGCTGAAGACTGCGGGAGGAAGTGGTCTGCTAGGGCCAGGAATGATGAGTACAGTCCTAGCCATACAAGGGGACACTGCGGGACATGTGACAGAGATGTCCCAGCCTACGGTTTGGATGGGACTTGTCCTGCAAGTGCAGTGATGTTAAGAGATGGTGGGACCTCTGAGAGGCGGGGCCTGGTGAGGTCATGGCAGGGGGTGTCTCAGAGGGAATCTGATGTTTGTGTGACCCTGGTTAGAACTGTTACAAAAGAGTAAGCCTGTCCTGCCGCCTCTCTGGTTTCCTGTCTGAACCACGTGACTTCTCCTATCGTGGTGCTATCTGTCATGTGATATAGCCAAGGATACCTGCCAGAGGCCAAATTGATGGGGTCACCTGACCCCAGACTTTCACCTCTCCAAACTGTAAGCTAAATAAAGAACTTTTTTTTTTTTGTACTGGGGATGGAACTCCAGATCTCATAGTTGCCAAACAGGCACTTATGATGCTGAGCTAAATCCCCAGCCTTGCTTTTTTTTTTTTTTTTTTTTTTTTTGAGGTAAAGTCTTAGTAATTGAGGATGGCCTCCAACTCAGGTGTGCAATCACACCCGGCTAAATTTCTCTTCTTTATAAACCATTCAATCTTGGGTATTTTGCTATAGCAACAGAAAGTGGATAAATATACCCAGCTAGACTCAGTATTTAAAAACGGCCCCTAAACAGAGAAGAGGTCTGGGCTAAGGCCCAGGACTCTGTGGCATCAGTGTAGTTGACACTGTCCAGCATATAAACCAAAGCTAGACTTTTGGGGGCCACCAGCCTTTAAGGAATGGTGGAAGAGAGGCCCCAATGAAACAGCTGAGATGTGTGTTCAAATGGAGCTGTCCCTCCAGACACCTGGACAGCCTGGAGTCTGTGGAGTGGCCTGCGGTCATGGGGATCACAGCAGCTAGGCACAGTAGAGCCCTTTGGGGGATTGGTCCTCCAGGGTTATCTTTGCCCCAGAATCCCAGTATTTTCTTGTAACCGATGATGTTGCACAGAAAGGCAAAGTGACTTGTCTAGGACACCCACAGAGCTGGAGGCAGGACCACGAGCTCATCTCCCAGTCCCACATCTTCCCATCTTGGTTTTCAGGAGACCCTAACTCGGCCTCATCCACAAACTTGTCCTGGGCCGCAACCACCTCACCTGAGATGACCTCCAGCAGCAGCATGAGCTTCAGGCCGTCCCGGAAGTCCTCCTCGATGTTCTCGATCTGTGTCCCCGCCTTCCGGAGGTGGGAGTTGCACCACGCGGTGAAGGTCTGAGGAAGCGAAGAAGAGCAAGTCAGTCTCCTCCACCAGTCCACGGTCCACGGCCCTCAACAGGGCCTCAGTGGCTTCCCAGGACCCGCCTGCCTCGTGCTGTCTTTCCAGTTGTCCTGTACGGTACTATCTGTGCTGGTGATGTCACCCGCCATTTACGCAGCAGGGCCCCCAGAGTTTCTCAGCACAGCCGTCCCATGCAGTCTCCTTCACCTCATCGGCCAGGCTGTGAGCCCAGAACTGATGCCCTACAGAGTCCAGGGCCTGGGTGGCACCAGCATAGTGGGCAAAGCAGCACCTCCTCTAAGGTGACCCCTTCTAAAAACATCATCCCCATTCACATCCGGAAGTGCCGTAAGTCCTTCACAGTTATCCACAGGTCATGTATTAAGCCCCATTGACACCTTTGGGTAAGCTACCGAAACCCCTTCCCTCTTAGTAACTAAGGGAAAGAATTAGTACTTTTTAATTGGGACCAGAATTCAGAGATGGGGTGTCTGCGTTTTGGGTGGGGGTGAGGGGCACCTTGAGCTGCAAAAGCAGAAGAATAATTCCAGAAAGGGAACATAAGGAGGTTCACTGTGAAGACCGTTAGCTCTGTAGCTCCTTCTCCACGAAGCAGATTAGGATGGAGTAGGACATCAACCACGCTGTCTTTTACCAACAGCACTGCCCAGGGGCTCAATCAGGAAACAAGGTGGCTCAACACATGAGAGACAAAAATGTAGGCCCTGATGCACATGGCCATCGGAAACTTAAGGCAGTGTCTCTCTCCAGCTGGCAGTGCACAGCAGCCAGAGCAAGAGCTGTCTTGTCTCAGCCAAACTCTTCTCAGGCAACGGCACTCTTCTGCACCAAACAGAGCTACCATGGGAGCCGAAGTCCCAGGGCCCATTCACACTCTTTCCAGCTGCTCTGCCAGTCCTGGGGTAAGAAGTGTGGGTATACACACGCCTGTAATCTCAGGACACTGGGAGGCGGAGTCTGAATGATCACAATTTAGAGCCTAACCTGGTGATTTAGTGATTTAGGGAAATCTTGTTTCCAAAAAATTTTAAAAGGACTGGGACATAGCTCAGTGTAAAAGCCCAGAGTTCAATCCCCAATACTGAGAAGGAAGAGAGGGAAGCGGGGTGGACAGAGATGTAAAGGCAAAGAACAGTGGGCTGATTGTCTAGATTTGCAAATATAAGTTAAAGAGCCTGTAAGCAGGAAGCTGGAGGACAGAGCACCACTCCCCCACAGGAGAGGAGGGGCAGAGGGCGAGGATTATGACAGCCCCAGCTCTGGGCCTCAGCTTTGACACTATCTCAGCAGTTACCCAGTGATCCAGGACCCTCTCTCCTGCAAACATACCTGCATTCTGCTATGACACTATATAGGGTGTGTGCCACCTCCAAGAGTTGGGAAGACCGGCACACAAAATGGGGGTATACAAGGGACATGACTGATCCCTCAGCCTGGACTGTCCTTGAATCTGAGTGATTAACTCCATTCATCTTCTAAGGTGAAGTTGTCACCTCCTCGAGGAGCCTTGCAAAGGTCAGGTACACAGCCCACTGCACCCTACCATGGCCCTCTGCAGGACCACTATATGTCAGTCCCTCACCCCTAGACTGGGGAGTGGCTCCCATCTTCTGGAGACAGGGATTCAGTGATCACTTTCATACCCAAGTTCCAGGGCGGTCAGGCTGGGACAGTGGACAGACATTCTAGTGAGTATAAAAGTTACACAGCTGTGAGAAACTGGTACACAGCTAGAGAGGCCAGCAGATCATCAGCACCTTGTGGGTGACGCTGCATGGGCAGGGCAGGGAGTAGTGGGATAAATGGTGCTATTAGGGACCCTCTAGACACAGACAGTAGCTCAGCAAAAAGGGGCTTCAGCAGGGAAGTGGGTCTGCGTTCCCTTCCTCTAGCACTAACTCTGCAAACCTAGTGGGGAAAGAGGGCTCTTGGCTTGTGTTTTCATTTTTTTGATAACTTTTTTTTGTTGGTGTAAAAAAATAGTAAGGAATTTTTAGTCGGCCATGGCAGTGCACACCTGTAATCTCAGCTGCTCAGAAACTTGAGGCAGAAGGATCACAAGTTCAAGGCCAGCCTGAGCAACACAGCAAAAACCTGCCTCAAAATTTCTGGGGTTCTAACTGCCAGCACAGATAGTGAGAGAATTTTTAAATCCCTTTTTGTTTTGTTTTGATTTGTTTTTAAGAAAGGGTCTCACTGTGAAGTTCAGGCTGGCCTTGAACTAGCCCAGGCTGGTTTCCAATTTGTAGAATCCTGCCACCTCAGTTACAGACATGTGCCACCACACCTGGCCTAGATCTTTAAACACAATTTTAACACAATTTACTTTGGCTTTGCACAGTGTCTTCCATCAGTCATCTGTCTGCATGTCAATTTTTTCCAGTGTCACTGAAGTAGGAAAAATGTAACTCACAACCTGTTAGAAGTCAGGTGTATCAAATTTGCTGTCTCCTGAAATCAAAGAATGATTTTAAATGACAAAGGAAATTAAGAGTAGGAAAGGTTGAGACAGATCCTGAGAGACAAGAGGGATCCCCGAAGTGGGCTGGCAATGCGGCCTTTTGTCAAGGGTAATTTATATAGCAAAATTTATAATGTGCATACACTGTGGGTCAAGCTATAATTGACGTATAGGTTATAAGTATAGCTGCTTAGCTAATACCGATGCAACAGGGAAGTGGGGCATGTAGCCAAGGGTAAAAGGCTGACATCATTAACCTTTATCTATGACTTTTAAAACAGGAACGTGTTGGAAAGGCACGGGTCCAGGTGTTCTGGTCACCCACCCAGGTGTCTGACGCACATCTGGACTTAATGGGCTGTGTACTACCAATTACTGTACAGTATAAATTCAAGTTTACATTCATCCCTCAGGGAGTATGTAAGCCTGGCCTTTGTGACTTTAATCTCAGGGCCTTGCCTTCTTTGGATGTGCCTCTAGCCACAGTTTTGATTACGTTTTGCACTGATTTTCTCGAGGGCCTATCCTGTCTGACTGCTTATTAATTTCTACCTAACTTAGCTGCCTACAGTACCACCACACTGGGTGGCAGGGTGGAGGACAAGGGGGGCTTTTACCACTGCTCACTCTCTTTTACTTCCTAGCACCTCAGTCAAAGGATTCCTACTGCCCCAGAGAAGGGAACTGGTCAGCCCAGTAACTCAAAGGCACAGTGTCAGGTCCAGAGTGAGCAGGATCCTGGTGCAAACTGCTCTGAGCCCCATGGCAGGAACTGTGAAACTCCTGTTTACTAACCAGGTCTTGAAGAGGGGGATGGGAGTGAGAGAAAGGAGGAAGAAGTAGTTTTTGTATAAAAAAAACAAAAAGCACTGCTTTTGAAAGAGGAAAGGGGCTGTTGAAAGCACCCAGCCCCATTTCCTGGGGCTGCCGCAAGAGACAAAAACACACCTGTGTTTGTTCAGGGCTCTGGAGAAAGCCCTGGTGCTTAGCCTGGGAACTAAGCTTTCCCAAGGCCCCCCAGTCTTGGGGTCCGGGTTCCTGAGCACTTCCCAGATACTGACGTTTCCCCCACCAAGCAGAAGAACTACGAAGTTTTGACATAAGGAAGAAATAGTGGACGGTGTCACCAGACCTGCGCTCACTTCTCAGGTCACTATTTACTGGCTGTGTGACCTTGGGTCAACTTCCCCAAACCACTTCCTTTGACAGTAAGATGGGATCCACAGAAAAACAGAATCATCACAGCACTTCATACATGTTGGGATGGTCACCTAAAAATTATTTGCACAGTACCTGCCAATCAGTCGAGCTCAGTAAATGGTAAGAGAGGACAAAGATGAGGCCCCAGACATGCCTGTGGCTGGGCTGGGAGGGCTCCCGTGTCCCAGGAGGCTCTAAGGCAGTGGTGGCAAAACTATGGCACGAGTGTCACAGCAGCTGTTACCACCAGAAGCTGTAGGAGGTTCCCCCACTGCTCAAAGCAGTATCAGGAGGGGAGAGGGCTGGCAGCCTCCATCTGGGACACAGGAAGACACCCCTCCTTAACAGTGCCCCGAGTCCAGCAAAAAGAAAAATGCCATATTGCCATAAGTGACGGAACCCACGACCTCATAGTGGCACTCCTGGGTGCCTAGCGTGGTGGCAGTGCTACCCATAAGGTGAATGATTCAACCTCCCTCCAACGAAGGCCACAAAATGCCTCAACCCCATCCAGGCCCTGCCTTACCTGCCCGCCCCTCATCCTGAGTTTCCTTCAGCCACCTCCCAGGGCCATGTGTGGGCTCAGGGCTGACAAGGAGACAGAGGGGTCGACTGTCCTTCCCAGGATTCCTGGGCTCAGGAATACTGCAAGACGCTGGCAACAGCACTGGGGACAAAGGCCCATGTGGTCTCCGTACTTTACCCAGCCCCTGCTCAGCCATACCATGCATGGCCTAGGAGGCCTTCGTGGGCCCAGAATGCTTCAGGAGGGGAGGGGTCTTTTCGCTGAAATTGAGCTTCCACTGAGACCTAAAGACTCGAAAACGGTGGAGGAGCAGGGAGTATACCTATCTGCACTTCCGCTCAAAGTCACAGAGTGGGCCCCAGCCCACGTGGTTGGCCATGGAGGCAGAAAGATACCTTTGTCTCCCTTCTCCACAGGCCCTGTCTTGCCTTTGGATTCCTCTAACATCTTTCCATTGCACTATTGGAAACCATCACGTCAAGATGTTTCCTTTAACTTGTGTTGAGAAAACATCTATGGCTTTGGAGAAGACGCCCTCCCTGCTCTCAGCTTGGAAACACTAGAATGTGCCACACAGGTCTCTTGTGAGACTCCATTTCCATATCTGTAAAATGGGAGACCATAGCATCTACCAGGCATGTCTGAGATGGAGCTTAAATAAGACAATACTAGCACAATCATGCTATGAAATTTATACTAATGACAGTACTAATAACAGTAATATTATGCCTGGAATAGAGTAAGCATAGGGGAAATGGTCCTCACCACCACCACTACAGTCTAGA